ACTTATAAAGTAGGGATAATGATAGTTTTGATATCATAAATTATTAAAAGAGTTAAAATAAGAATATATGTGCAGGTCTTAGAATAATGCATTTTATGCAACAAGTACTCAATAAATGTGAGCTCTGAATCAGTATAGTGGCCAAAGGTGTGGGCTTTGGAGTCAGATTAACGTGGTTTCAAATCCAGCTTTGTGTTCATAGGCAAGTTAATTAGCCTCTCTGAGCTTTGATTTCCCCTCTGCAAAACTGGGATTATAATACCTACCAAATGCAGTTGCTGAGAGAACTAAGTGGCACAATGCAGGTAACAGGTACTTAATAATGTTAGCTCTTATAAAGTGCTAGGTATGTGTTTGTGATGAATGCCAATTGCTAAGACAATAATAGACTGATTGTTGCTGTTTTTAATTTTACTGCTCAAATTCCTCCCTGAGATTGTAATAATCTCTATGCTGGCCTGATACATGACAATAGTCCTTTGTTGGAGAGAAGTCTTGTTATGGGACAAGCCTTGTCTGTCCAATCATGGTCATTGTGTCATGAGTATTGCCTTAAGGTGTCCAAGTAGTTTAAACCAAAATGTGTTTCTGAGATTATAGGTTTTATTTCTTTGAGCCTCAAACTCTGTGTTATTCTACTCATTAGATTATTATTTTAATATTACTAATATTTATACAATTTCAACCTGTATAACACTTGAAATAAAATTAATAAAGGGTTATTAATGCATTCAAAATATCTGCAAAACTGTCATTGCAAATACCTACAAACTATTGGACACAGCATACATAATCTTTCTTCCTCTTCCTTCTGATCAGGCTGAGTGGAGAAGGAGTCTCTCCAGTTAATATCTGTGAGTATGGCATCATTCTTGTATCATTTGGGCAGCTGAAGGATGGGGAGGTGTGGGCTTAAAATATGGGAGGTCACGAAGCATGTGAGGAAATCGCACAGGCTGAGTTCATTTTGAGGAAGTTTGAGATTTTAAGTCTATTGAAAAACTTTGGTGTCACAATTCTTGCCTCTTTTTGAATGAGAATTCCAAGGTAAGTACAATGAGAGTTCTGTTATAATTGTTTTGTGTGGGTTTTAAAAAACCCCAGCCATATCTCTCACCTCCCAGGAGTTCATATTATTTGGCTAGAGTTGCAAGTCTAGCTCAGAAACCTTCAAAATAAACATTTGATGTCAGGACTTATGACTCAGTCTGCCTTGGGCCTGTGGAGAGAGACTTCACACTAGGCACATGACCAATGAAGAGGCCCCTCTTTCAGACGACTTGGAAAGAAGCCACTGCTTGGCTCAGCTGGGGAAGTTGCTAAGGGTTTTCAAGGCCCTTAGGGCAGCATGGACCACAGCAGTTGGTTATAGCTGCCCCCACACAGGAGAGGCATTACACTGTGCCAGTAAGAACAGAGTCCTGTCTCACAGATCTCAGTGCTGGCAAGGTGAAGGCAACAAAAATGACATTGGCAATTCATATCCTACAAATGAGTTTGTTTTTCTTGATGAAAGATTCATAAGCGCAATTGATTACACTAGTCAGTGATTCAGAAGGCAGAGCCCTCTGAATTACCCAGTGTCCCTGAATATCTCCTTCCCCCAAGTCCATATTTGGGCTTCCAGAGACTCTCAGAACTACTTCTGGGAACAGATGGCATCACCTTGAGCTCCCTTTTCTTCTGAATGTATCTGGAAGTTTGTGTTAGTTCCCTACAGTTGTTGCAAACAAGTGCCACAGACTGAGGGACGTTTACTGTGTCACAGCTCGAGAGACTAGGATCCCATAGTTGAGGGGTGACACTTAGCCTTTCTTGGCTTGTGGCTTCCTCACTCCAATCTCTGTCTCGGAGAACATAGGACCTTGTCCCTGTGCATACTTTCTTCACAGGAATGTCTTCTCTATTTTTGTGAGGATCAGTCATCCTGGATCCAGGCCCATTCTAAAACTTTTATCTTGATTGCATCTTCAAAGGTCCCATTTCCAAATAAGAACACACTCATATGTACTTGGAGTTAGGACTTCAACACAGCTTTTTTGGAGGATACGATCCAGTCTATTACAGTTCATTTTTTATTTCAGATTTCTTTCTGCAGATCCCAAAGTAGTATACTAGATAGTTTAAAAATAGATTTGTAGAAGAAAAGAGGGCAGAGCTGAATAATCAGTGGGTTTCTCTTTAGTATATTGTGACTATTTCAGCTCCTCTCTGGGATGCTGTGTGTCACAGCTGGGAGATGCGAAGAGAAGAGCATGTGTGGCCCTGTATCAGCTTACAGAAGGAAGAAAGGTTCAAGATCCAGGGATGGAGAGGGGCATAGGTCAGAGAGTACAGTGAGGGAGATTGTAAAGCCATCAAAGGGAAACAGTTTCTTGGAGGAGAGAAGTCTCTAGGAGCTTCTGAAAGGAGAAAAGAGGAGCTGAGTAGCAAAGAAAATGCAGAAAATCATTCAAGCCTTGGAAAATGTCCACTCTAGTGTGTGACAGGCAACCAGGGCAGGTGGGAACTACAATGAGATAAAAAGCTGCCTGCCAAGACCACTCTGTTACCATACCAAGGACTTTGGGGTACATGCCTTGATAGCCCTAGGAGTCTTCTCCCTTGCCTGTGATTCTGATTATGTCTTCTCTCCTGCAGCTGTGGTCACCTCTACCGTTTCCAGTGGCTATGGCAGTGGAGGTGGCATTGCAGGTGGAAGCCTGGGTCTTGGTGGAGGCAGCAGCTACTCCTTCACCACCAGCGGGGGGCACAGCCTGAACACGGGCCTGGGAAGCTCTGGATTCACTACCAGTAGCAGCCGGGGCCCAGCGGGCAGTGGTTCTAGCATCAAGTTCATCTCCACCACGTCCTCCAGCAGGAAAAACTACAAGCACTAAATGCAGCCACAGACCGCTGCCTGGATGCCTGAATGCAAGTGGATGCCTGTTTGCACTCCCACTAGGATACCTGAGTCCTTCTCCTGGTCTCCCTTCCACCACTTCACCTGTGCTGCTGGGAAGCCTGGCATCCTGGAGAAATCCACTCCCCAGCCTACGGCAGCCCTTGCCCTTCCTGCAGTCCCCAGGCCACTCCTGATACCTCTTTGTGCTAAATATACAAACCCACAGCTTATTCTCTCTGGCTCAGCTGCTCCTATGACACCTGGGCAGGCTGCTAAAGACCCCTCACCACCACCTCTAGATGCAGCAATGGGGAGCCTGTGTGTCTAATGCCATCTCAATGCCAGGCTGTCCCTGCCTGCCTCAGGGTGCTTATAAGCTGCTGGAAGAATGAGTTCACCTCTGTTCCCTCCCAGAATGTGTATTAAATGCATGTGTAATATGTTTGGCATCTGGTGTTCTGTTTGTGATGGTAACAGGCTCAGAACAATTCTCCTCCTCCCCAAGGCTGTACAAACATGGGGATCCCCACATTCAGTGCTCAAAGCACCTCACCTTGGAATAAGTCCACCTAAGTGATAGAAGTTATGGAGGAGGGTGGGTAGATGGGAGAGCCAGGGGCTGCAAAAGTCAGGAGACTGCCAGACTTTCTGCCCCAGTTTTACCCACTTTTTATTTCTCTCTGGGATACCTCATTTGAGAAGCCAAAGGCCCTGGGCAGAAGCCTTGTCCAACCTTCCGCTCAATACATCACGCAGGGTGGTGCCTTCCCCTCTCAAAACCAGACTGTGTTCCTGGGACACTGCTGATGTAGGGTGGGCTGCTCTGGCCTCTGCCGGCAAAGGGCTGATTGTTCCCTGACAGCTTCAAACTTGCAGGCCTGTGCAGAGAAATAACAGACCAGGGAAAGGAGTTAATAGTCATCCCTGAGGCCAGGCACAAGAGCCAGTTAGCCCATAATTGCATGAGCAGTGAGACATCTGGGGAAGCTCCCACATTCCTGTCTTTATGAGTGCCCTGTACCCCTCCCCAACTGGACACGCCCAGATGGAGGCCAGGTGTCTCAGTGAAGGTGGACACTACACTCCAGACCAAGTGAGAAGCTGAAGAGAGCTGCAAACTAGGGCCTTGAAAATACTTACAGTGCAGAGCAGGAAGTTAAAGGGCAGAGGGAGTTGAGAGTGAAAGAAGGGCTGAAGTTTGGAAGGGTTGGAAGAATGAGGATGATGGAAGGAGGGACATCACTGAGAAAAACTATTAAGTTCCCCAGTCCACCAAGGAAGGGCAAGTTAAGACTAGGGACGAGGACAAAAGAGACAGGAATCTCAAGTAAAGTCCTGGGTGCTGCTCCTCTTGAACAAGCCAACTCTCCTCTTGAGGCCTGACTTCCCAGCTAAGTGAGATTTGATCATTCTGAGCATGTAATATTGGCCTCAAAAGCCACCCATGTATGACCTTAGCCAAGTTGCCTAGTTATCCTGCATCAATTGCTCCATGTGTAAAAGAATAGCTATGCCATGGTGATGTCAGAGTCAATGAGAAGATAAGCATAGTGCAGCTTCCCATATGTGTTCAAACATTAACAGCAATACTTTTATCATCCACTCTCATGAAATAATGAGAATCAAAGAAAATACTTATGGCAGACCTGCCACATAGGTTCTGTGTCCCAGGCTGAATCCTCAGGAAACAGAAATATAAAGGCATATATATATTCACATCCAGAATGGGACATGCCTAGTCAGGTGCCTGAATTCAGAGGCTGAGACCTAAGAATAGAGGATAGAGCTGCAGAGAAACAATGGGAGGGTCCGTGGCATGAGGCTGAGAACCTGAGTGGGTGAGGGGCTCAGAATCCAGACCTGCCCCAGGCCAGAATCTTCAGGCCTGGTCCTGCCTGGGTAGGGTGTTCCCCTACACTGATTAGCAGCACAGGAAAATGAGCTGTGGCCAGACATGCCAGTGAGGTGAACTCAGCAGAGTGGTCTTTGATCTTCTCCAGCCAAGCCCAGTTCTCAAGAGGGATAAAAGTCAAGGAGAGTCCAGAATAGCTACACTTTGAAAGAGGCTCATTGTTTTGATACTTTGCTCCTTCATCCTCTGGCACCAGCACCTATCATGACCCAGCGATCAACAATCACCATCAAGTCTGGGGGTATGCGGAACTTCAGTGCTTCCTCAGCCAGCCTTCTCCCAGGATGCTGACCCAATTTCAGCTCTTTCTCGGTGTCTCAGAATAGAAAGAGCATAGGAGGTGGTTTTAGGGGAGGCTTTGGGACCAGGAGCCTCCATGGCTTTGTAGGCAGCAAAAGAATCTCCATCAGTGGGGGTTATCACTCCAGCCAAGGTAGCTTCAGGGGCTGGGTACCAATAGCATAGGGTACAGAGCAGGAGGAGCCTTTGGCGGATATGGATTTGGAGGTGGAATGGTGCATGGAGCTGGGGGCATCCAAGAGGTCACTGTCAACCAGAGTCTCCTGACACCCCTGCACCTGGAAATCGACCCTTCTCTCCAGCATGTGTGCAAGGAAGAGAAGGAGCAGATCAAAACCCTCAACAACAAGTTTGCTTCATTTATTGACAAGGTGAGAGGCCAAGGGGGTGCATGCCACAAAAGCAGCTAACACCAAAGGGTCTATGCTTTCTGTGCTTTTCTGAGGCCAACTGTGGCTTCCCTGGCCCTGTGGCTGGGTAGTCTGCTGATAGAATGTAGGAGGGAATAGTTTTCCACTTAATTGAGGTAAGAGCTGAAAATGTCCATCTCCAGACCCAAGGGCTCTCTGACCTACTACATAGACATTGTTTTTGATGGCCAGTGATGATGTGCTTGGATAGCACACTGCTGTCAGTTTCAACGGAAGGAGACAAAAGAAAGAAAAGTACATTCTTGGAAGTGGGCTTGGTGCCAGTTCAATCAGCACTAGTGTCCTGGGAACTAGGCATATTTGGGAAGTTGAGTGAGTAATGAAGGGACCCTTTTTCTGAGAGGCCTCCAGAGGCTGCGCTCCTGTCAGCCCTCACAGTCTCTTATCTCTGGCTTGACAGGTGCGCTTCCTGGAGCAGCAGAACAAAGTCCTGGAAACTAAGTGGAGCCTTCTGCAAGACCATAAAACCACCAGGGCCAGTCTTGAGCCCATGTTTGAAGCCTATATCAGCAACCTAAGAAGACAGCTAGACTGCCTGGGAGGACAGCGGGGAAAGCTGGAGATGGAGCTGAAGAACATGCAGGACATGGTGGAAGACTTCAAGAACAAGTGAGTGGATGCCCAGGAGCTCCTGGGCCACAGCCTGGCCCTAGGGCAATAAAGAAGGCCAGCAAAGCAGCAGAAACTAGCTCTTTTCTCCAGATACATCTAGACCAATGGGCAATGGGATACACAGTGGAGGAGAAGAAAGAGAACTAAGTGAAACACTGCTTCAAGAATGTTGAAGCTTTGGGAAGCTGTGAGTTGTGATGATGATGACTAGCATAGGCACAGCCTAGGTACATGACTCTGCAGGTGAGGAGATAGCTACCAACTTCTCCATGATAACACAAAATAGCAACTCATGAATTCAGAATCAAATCCAGAGAATCTCACATTTATTCAACTAAATCCCAGTGCTGATCATCCCAGTTCATACATTCACCCTGATTCTGGCCAAGAGGGCAGAATTGCAAGAAGAAAGACAGCTCAGCACACACACACACACACACACACACACACACACACACCAGCATGTTTACATGCTTATGACTGTACACATGAGTTTATTGTTTTTATTGTTGTCTTCTTATTTTTACTATTTTACTTATTTTTCTTATTTTTAATTGATTCTTAGTTGTCTTGCTCGAACCAAAATTGTTAATTTGATAATGAGGCTTGGTGAGGACATGGAATTAGAGGAAGACAAAAAATGTCCCTATTCATTAAAAGGAGCTTGAGGAAACAGTAAGAACACCAATGGTCTCCAAGAGAATACATAAGAAACCACAGACAGCACTGACATCTCAATGGCAGGAAAGATTTTCAGAGAAGACTAGGTACCAGAGTCAGTCTAAGGGCCAAAGATATAGCTCAGTGGTGCAGCACCTGCCTGGCAAGCGTGAGTTCCTAAGTTCAATTCCAGGTACCAAAAAAAAAAACTAAAACAACTATAATCAGTATGAAGACAGGGAGATTCTCATAGTGTACATAACATGGGTTCATAGGCTGTTTGTAAAGGAATAGACAGTTGCCATCTCATAGATGAGAAAGCCCCTCATAGATGGAAAAGCCCCCTTTAAGCTTTAGTCTCTTCCCAAATACCCCCTTATTAAGTCTTCTTGGGTCAAAACCTTTTATACCATGTTTGCAAATAAATTCTATAGTTGGATAGCATAAGCTGCCCAAGATGACTCAGATAACGTATATGAACCAAGGTTCAAACTCCATAATATAGCACAATTAAAATGATGGGATTGGTTGATGTTGAAACAGCTTTGGTGGAGAGTGGGTCAACTGGAGCAGAACAAAAACTTTCTCCTGAGAGGTCTGGGAGCAATGGGCACCCCCATATGCCCCTGTGGACAGACAGAAGGGTTGGGACTGCTGTCTAGGGGCAAACTGAATAACAAAGAAACCTGAGGAAGCGAGACACTTATTAGCCTGATGACTCTGCTTCTTTGGTCCCAGTTCATGGTTGAGACCATGGAGGGGACACAAGGGCAATATAGTATGCAGGTGCCAGGCCAGAGTACAGGAGCTGCCACCTCTTATACTTCCCTCTGCTTTTTTCCCTCATGGCCTCTATTTGGATTGAGGTGAGTCTACTTTTCAATGAAAAGAAGCATGTATGCTCCTTTAGGGAGATCCAAGAACTCTGTGGAGACTCAGTGTAGACAGGCATTAAGAAAAGATGCCTCAGGAAAAGGAGAGATGGTTCCATTCTGTTGTTTTCTGTTTGGATTTTGGGGGACAGAGCATTCTTCAATTTGCAGCTTGGAGATACATATTCAAGAGAGCTATGCTACACTAGAATTTCCAGGGCATCTCTGGAGACCCACCTGCCTGACTGCAATCACATAATTCCCACCTTGCTCCAGAACCTCCCTCCTAATTCCCTTTCCCCCCTGCCTTCCTTCAGGTATGAGGAGGAAATCAGCAAGCGCATAGCAGCTGAGAATGAGTTTGTGGTGCTTAAGAAGGTGAGGAGACAGAGAAGCTCTACCCGTGCTTAGGCTCTTGGGAGTCACAAACTGTCACACTAGAGTGGCCCTCCCTATCAGACTTTCCACAACAAATCTTGAAATCTGGTTTTACTTAAAAGTGATAAGTCCATTGCCCAGGTTATCTAGATAAATCAGAAGTGGGTCAGAATCAGAACTCCCAAGTCTGATCTGTAAATCCCCTCATGAGGTCCAGGGTAGGAAGAGGGGCTGCAGAAGACTTGAACTTAGTCTTCTGAAAATTCAACCAGGCTCAAAGGATAGAGCTGGTACATAGCTCAGACCACAGAAATCTAGGCCTTCCTGCTTGGTGGGACCAGAGAGGGAAGGGGGATCCCACCGTACAGAAAAGTGAGATGGAGGAAAGCTAAAGTAGGCTTTGGGGAGAGGCCTGGAGAGCCCAGAGGCAGTGGGAGCCCAAGGACCCAGGTAGGGGGCATCCTTCTTGAGTGAACTGACAGGCAGCACCACTGATGGACAGGTGAGCATTCTTGAGGCCTTGGTCATCACATCATGTGGACCTCCCAACCCCAAGTCCCTTCCCATACGCGGGAACAGCCAAGTCCTTCCCCAAGAGCTGAAGTTGTCCCTCAAAATCACAGATGGGGCAGCTGACTAGCTCAATAAGGATAATCCCCAGGGTGATAGTATGTTCTATGCCCAGGATGTGGACACTGCCTACATGAACAAGGTGGAGCTGGAGGCCAAGGTGGAAGCCTTGATGGATGAGATCAGCTTCCTGAGAACTTTCTAAGAGGCGGTAAGACAGCCTGCTCTTCCCCCTCGGGAGGGCCGAAGGTCTCAGCTGAGCACAGAGGCTTCTGGCTCTGTCCCTGTCCTGCCCTGCCCCTGGCTCCTCACTCCATCTGTGAGTTATAATTCATGGGGGCAGATGCTGGTTTCCCTATAGAGGAGAAAGTGAGGCTCTGTGGGGCCCCTGGGAGAACAGGAGAGGAAAAAACTTCCTCAGCAGCAACTTGGACCATGTTGGGCTGACAAATGACAAGCTGCCAATCACTGACATGCACATAATTCCTGCAGCATTGTGAACAGCTGGGCCTGCACAGCCCAGCCCTGCCCCACCTGCTGCTTCCTAGAAAGGCTGTAAAATGAGATTATGCAAATCAAGTGCCAATTAGCAAGCCTCCAGGGGTTTCTGGAAATCTGTGACAACAATTGCGTGCTCATCTTTAAGATACACTTTTGTTGAGCACTCCTGTACACTCAGACATTGTTCTCCAGGCTTCAGAGATAGCACAGGACAAACACAGAGAAACTCTTAAGTTTTTAGGTCTTATCTTACAGAAAAGAGACAGGCAGTAGAGATACAATCAAACAGCTACCATTTCAGGAGTGAAAATGTCTATAGGCCATTGACAAGAAGGGAGAATCCAAGCTACAGGGAATGAGGATACAAACATCCCGGGTGAGGTCTAGATTGGCTGTGGAGCCAAGGGAGGAGACAGGACAGCAATGCCAACATTGGGGTGCATGGTGAGTTGTGCACCTCCAGGTAGGACTCAAAGGAGGACAGATGGGTTTCCTGGAGGGTTATCTACATTTGGTGCCCAGCATAGGCCTGTCATATTGTCCCAGAACCAGAAGCATCAGCTCTTGGTGTTCAGGTGGCTTCAATGATCATCTCACAGCCCACATGGGACCAAAAGCCTTCATTTACTTCACCTATTCTCCTCACTATGACAATCAATATGATATCAGCTCCTAATTCTGACCTCGCCCATTACCCAGTAAGGCCATGGGCTGAGACACCCCAGCAAGGTCAGTGAGGGGAAAAATTATTTCAGGAACATAACTATAGCATGAGAACCATAAAACCGTACTTTGTTGAAACAGTAAATGTACAGGTCTGTTGAGAACTCAGTAGGCAAAAGAATACTTTTGCTTAGATTTCTGCTTCTGACCAGCAATTCTCAGATTCCAAAGCACACGATCCTTCTGGTAGTCTTGTTAGGACACAGGGCTCAAGAAGTCTGAGGCTGGAATGTCCATTGCCATCATACTCCCAGGCAGGTAAGGCTGATGCTGCCAGTCTGAGGTCACACTGAGAGAACTGAGGCTTCAGGTCAGGCTGAAAAGAGATGAGTAACAAATTAATCATGATTTAACTATTCAAAGCCCATCTAACATAAACATCATGTAGTCTTCACAGAAGCTGTGCTAGGCCTGAATTGTGATTAGCATCTCTACCCCAGAGCTTGTTCTAAACTTGCTCAGCAGAGCAGATTTGTGAGTTTTTCAGTCTGATGCCTTTTTTACTGTTTCAAGTTAATTTCCATTTTCTTCACCTGAAAGATAGAGAGTAGCAAAATTAGGAAACAGAATAAAATGTAGCAGAGTTGTTTGACCCCTTCTGACGCAGCTTCCTTTCCCAAGATGATGTGCTTATGCCCTCTGAAGGCAGAGCTTTTTCAGCATATGAGACACTGTAGCACTTGACAGTCACAGGAAGGTGTGCTCCCTTCATAATGGGAGTGATTTTTGGAGAATTCTAGCTAGACTTACCCATGCTGCTCCCTGTGCAGATGAGCTGACGATAAAGAACAGCTATAAACTCAGTGGCTTCCCTCATGTCCCCTCCCAGCCCTTTCACATCTAAGCATTGAGCTCTGCCCCAACAGTGTTAGACTCTCCATGCCTGGGTCTGTCCTGGGATGGGCAACAGTCCTCCAATAACATGTACACGCACACACACACACACACACACACACACACACACACACACACGCATACACTGGAATATGTGAATGTCCTGCCTCAGCTCTCCGTTCGGCCCAATCACAGGAGCTGGCTCAGCTTCAGGCTCAGATCTCCGAGACATCTGTGGTCCTGTCCATGGACAACAATCGCAAACTAGACCTGGACAGCATCATCACTGAGGTCAAGGCCCAGTATGAGGACATTGCCAACCGAAGCCGGGCTGAGGCCGAGTCCTGGTACCAAACCAAGGTGAGGCATCAAAGTCAACTCAATTAAACAAGCACGAAACCAGAGGCTTCAAAGACAAATTAGCTAAGATCCTGGTCCTCTCAGATGTTCCAGTCTAGTGGGCTTCAAGGATATGAGTTCAGCTGAGGTTCACTCTGTTCTGAGCCTTATCTTGAGGCAGCATCATCATAAGCTGGGGGAATTGTCAGATTCGGGCAGAAGGTGGCAAGTTTGTCTGGCAAGATGGATGGACACACACCTCCAACGCCCTGTATCAAAGAGACAGACAACGGGACAGCTCTAGCTCTTAAGACCAACAAGAGGAAGAGAGAGACAAGATGTAGAAGAGGGTCTATGCTTCCTGGGAAATGTTGGAGGGACAGAGAGGAGAGGGAGAAATGGCTGGGGCCAAGGTACTGGGAGGCAAAGTTTGCATATGGGTCAGAGTAAGATTGTCTAGGTTGGAGCAGACACTCTGAGATGGAGAGTCACTGGGAATGATGAGATGTGGTATCAAAATAAACAACTACAGAGGAACTTTAAGACTGTACCCTGCATGATGGTGAGTCTGGAAGAGTGAGGTGCATAGAGTACAGGGAGAGAGAAGAGAGGCTGGGTATTGGAAAAAGGGAAAGAGTGCAACACAGCTGTCCAACAGTGGATATGAAGAATGAGGGGCAGAGCAAGAGACAAGGCAGACAGACTAGAGCAGGATGGAGACAAAGCCAGGAGTCTCCAAGCAATGCACTTAAAGTCTGGGACCTGGAAAACTGCAGCCTTCTGTCCGGTGACCTGCCCACCCCCACCTGCTGCACTCACCCCTTGCCCTCTCTGAGGCTTGCTTGTTCTTCCTCCCAGTATGAGGAGCTGCAGCGGTCCGCTGGCCAGCATGGAGATGACCTCCGCACCACTAGGATGGAGATCTCTGAGTTGAACCGGGCCATGCAGAGGCTGCGTTCAGAGATTGACAACCTGAAGAAGCAGGTAGGGCAGAGCTCCCAAAGGCCACATCATCCAAGGCCCTGCCCTGGGGCAGATCTAGGTTTGGGTCTAATTCAGCCCATGCAGAGAAGCCTTACACGTGAACAGCTGGCTTCCAGGAATTTGAAGGTCACTGACCTACTGTCATTCACACTATAAGGGTCCCTTTCCCTCTGGAGCCACAGATGGCCAAACTCAGCACTCACTGTCCAGGGAAATGCAGCATTAAAGGATTTTAGAAAGCCATTTTTTTCACCCCACAGAGTCTAAAGAAAGCAGACTCGCTTTTAATCATGATACTCCAGCACCTGCACGTGAAGTTGATTTCAAGGAATGCTTCTATATTTTTAACCCAGAGCCCCCATCTTCCTGCATTCCCTGTGAACAGTGTCACAATCTCTGTCTCCTGCTTACAGTGTGCCACACTCCAAGCTGCGATAGCAGATGCCGAGCAGCATGGGGAGCTGTGCCTCAAAGATGCCAAGAACAAGCTGGCAGAGCGAGAGGAGGCCCTGCAGAAGGCCAAGCAGGACATGGCGCGGCAGCTGTGCGAGTACCAGGAGCTCATGAACGTCAAACTGGCCCTGAACATTGAGATTGCCACCTACCGCAAGCTGCTGGAGGGTGAAGAACACAGGTGAGCCATTTCTGCTCTCACCAGATACCACTAGAGCATGACAGTAATGCCATAGAGGCCACATAGGCCCCAAATATCAGGCCTCCAGCTAAAAAGTCCAAGGCTAGGAACGGAGTGAAAATTCAGTTGTTCTAGAGGCTCTCTGCAATTGCACCCACTCCCGTAGCTCCTCCTTGGCAGGGACCATCTCAAGATGTCAAGAAGAGGTGGTCATGACCACTTGGAAGGCCTCAGCAGGGCCATTTATACTCAGGGCCTTAACAAATGTGGCCAAATTTGGGACCAGATTCAGGATTTCCAAGTGTCTCCAGAGACACACTACAATGTCTCACTTCAACTTGTCAACACAAAGTCCCTTTTCCTATTTCTCTATGTATTTTAACTTGATCTCTCTGGAGTTCCCCTTACATATTTGCATAAGGTTCCTAAAGCTTAGGAGGTGAATGGAAATCATAAGCATAGTGCCTGGCATGTAAAACATGCTGAGTGCTAATGGCTTCAAATACAAAGAACCCAGAGCCTCTAACTTCTCAGCAAATGACACCTCTCTTCCCTCCCCCCGCAACCCGCCACAGGCTCACTGGTGAAGGCATTGGATCTGTTAATATCTGTGAGTAAATGTGTTGGAATCATAGACTATTGAGAGGCAAAATAGGAGCTAATGGCATCACTAGTTAGGACTCAGTGGCTACAAAGTAACACACTGAGACATGAGTGTCATCACGACTTTTTTAGGGGCTCTGTGAAGACCCCTCTACTCTTTGACCCTTCTTTCGAGTGGGGCCAAGAGAAGTCAGAATGGGCACATTCCATATCCCCAAGAGTTAAATTAGAGCAGAGCTCAGTGACTTTCTTATTATTCTGGAATAAAATTTGGGGTCTCTCTCCCAAAACTCCCGGTGACTCTTCATCCCTGGAGGTGGTCACAGTGGGGTCACATTCCCATGGACTCCAGCCTGGCCCAGAGAATCTCATAAAAGGAACTGGCCACTAAGTTGAATGGTTGATTTCTCATCCTCTGTAGGAACTCAGACTAATACAACAAGGGGTTTGGAAGCAGGCAAAAGGGAAAGGTCAATATTTAGAGTTTAAGCAAATTAATTGAGCAAGTAGAATCCTGGCAGGCCTGGCTTAGCCTCGACTCCCAGGAGACCAGGAGGGATAATCTTGGGAGTGAGCAAAGGGGCAAAGCGGGTGTTGAGAAGTTCAGCATCCTGGGTGGGAGCATCGAGTCCTGGTCATGGCCATAAAAGCCCCAAGTGTGTAAGGCCACAAGAGGGAGGCTGAGAGAGGCTCCAACCACCTGACCCAAGGAGCAGGAGCATCTCTTTGTGCCTCCATCTTTTCCTCTGTAAAATGTGGTTGCTGTCATAACGGTGTCCTCTCCTGCCTGTTGAGATAAATATGTTCACAATCGTGAAAGTGCTTTGAAACTGCACCTGTAGGAGGCTCACAATGAGGTTCAGTTTGTGTTAGCAGTGATGCATCTATGCCCTCTTGCTTCCTGGCTCAGGAGACTACTGTTGATGTGTTTCCTGGGGAGTGGATACCTGGAACAAGGCACATAGGAGGAAACAGATGCCGGGGAGACAGGGAGGGCATCGAGGAAAACTCAGAACCCTGCCAACATCCTCATGCCTTCTCTTCACAGCTGTGGTCTCTTCCTCCGGTGGCACAGGCTACAGTGCAGGCAGCAGCCTCTGTGCGGGTGGGGGTGGCTATGGTGGTCTAGGTGGTGGCCTCTGCTACTGCAGTGCTGGGAGCAGTGGCTTCAGTTCCACCAGTGGCCACAGCCTCAGTGGCACCAGCTCCAGTATGGGTATCATCTCCAAGACATCAACCACCAAGAAGAGCTACAGGAACTAAAGCACCACCCACCTCACCCACCCCAGGCCTGCAGCTTTCCAGCACTAAGGCCTGATGCTTTGCCCACACCCCTATGCACATTATCTAAAGCAGGAGGCACAGGAGCAGCAAGTGGCTGGGGAATGTTTAGATCTCTCTCCATCCCTCTGTCTCTAGCTAGTTCCCCACAAACAGCGCTCACTCACTCGCAATGTTAGGCTCTCCAGGGCTTATTCCAGCCCACAACAACTCAGACACTCTGGGTAAAGACTTGGATTAGCACTTTGATATTAGGAGTAGGGGATGCACTGGGGTCTCCCTCTTCTGTCTGACCCAGACTCACTGCAGCCACAAGACAATTCCTCTTGCTCAGTTCTTCATGGAGACCTTACATTGACTCTGGTGGCCCAAAGACATCAAATGAAGCCTAGGCCAGAGCGTCCATGTGTTGTTTCTTCCCACAAGCAGGATACTTCCTGCAAACCCTGCCATACACACTGCTTAGCCTCCTCTTTTGTGTCCCTGCCAAGGCCCTCAGTTGATTTCCCTGACTATTCTCACCAGCTGAATATTAGAGTGAAAAACTAACACCCTTTAAAATACTACCAGCTCTTGATTATTCATGTTACAATGGGTTGATTTTATCAAGAACCCACAATTTCTCTTTGACTTGCAGCTGCATTAAATCATAGTTCACAGCCAAATTCCTTCTAAATCTGTCTCATTCAAGCCAATATTATTAGGATTGCTTTCCCTAAACAGAAATACTCTGTAGGGAGGGAATGGATGGCAGATTGATGGTAGAAGAGAAAGCAGTTCAACTCAAAATGTCTGCAGAGTGTACACCAGAAAAAGGAGACTAATCCTGTCTTAGTCACTTTATGCTGGTCACTGAGACAAAATACCTGATGCCCAAGTTGGGAAAGGAAAGGTTTATTTCTTACAGGTTTTGGAGGTTTCAGTCCACACTCAGTTGACTCCAAGGCAGGCGGGCATGGCTGGGCCACACTTCGTGGCGGCTGCAAACAGCAAGCAGCAAGCTGGAACCAGCAAAGAGAAAGACACACCTTTTTCCTGCCATTACATCACATCCTGGCTCCACCCCTAGGTGGGTGGAGAACTGACAGCATAATTCCAAGCACTAGACAATGAACCAATCACAAATACACAATGCAAATTCATGAGGCCAGGGGACACAGACATAAACCATGACACCTTCCAAATAAAGCCCAGGTTATTTCTCTTTTTCCTATGGCCTTTCCTGTACACCTACTTCTTCACCCTCTTCTCCTTTTCTGCCATCCTCTACTACCCCCTGTGTCCTCTCTCTCAGTACCCATCTTTCCCCTCCTCCCCTTTATTTCTCTCCTTGGCAGCATGTTTCCTGCTCTTCCTCCTCCCACATTTCTTTTCTATCTCCCAGCTTCTGTAGTTTCTCTGTGCTGCATGGATTTGCCGGTCTCCCACCCCGAGCAAAGTTCCTTAAATCCAGGAGAAAGAGCCAAGATGGTGAGCTCAGAAGGGTGAGGCAGACATGGCTTTGGTGTGTTCCGCCCTCTGAGGAACATAGCTGCACTCAGCCCCTCCATGGCAGGAGAATAAGGAAGTGGCCATGTGGAGGTCTTTTTGACTCCGACTTTCATGGATACATTCCATTCAGTCTGAAGAGTTGTAATCCTCAAACATCTGCCACGAGTTCAAAACCAAAATGTACTCCAGAGTCAAAGAGGTCATCATCTGCCGTGTTGCCAACATGAAGACAGAATTCACAAAGACAGATCAAACCTTCCAAAGTACTTGTTTTCTTATGCTTGCCTATCTCCTGAAGTAGATTCAATAAAGTGTTGCTGATCACACTAGGTCTTAACTGAGTCAGCATTCTCTATTATACCCAGAGGCAGCCTCAGAACTGGTGGGCCATGGGAAGATTTGCTTTTTGAACCCACTGAAGCACATTATCGTCTAATCCTAAATTCAGGTCCCGGGATTCCAGATTCCCAATATGATCACTGATACCATTATGGGGCCTGGATAAGGTTGAGGAGCTCTGTGTGTCTGCATTGCTCCACTGGACCCAGTCCTAATAACCCTGCCAGATTTTTCACTTATCCTGCCTAGCGGGAGTTTGCTTTTTGGTCAGGCTTCTCATACTGCATAGCCATTCACACCACTTCCTAGGCTCCTAGAGCAGAATGAGGCTCTTCTTCCCTGATATCAGGAAACTTCACCTGTGATGGTTGATCTTGATTCTCAGCTTGCCTAGATTAAAAGGTCCCTGGAGAGATGAAGTTGTTAGGGCACAAATTGCATTGACTGGTTTAACCTATGAATGAGTTCATAGCTAAAAAGAAATGGGGCCTGATGGGAAGAAGTAGGGAATGGGGCCATGTCCTTGGAGACTAAATCCGGTCCCTGACCCCTTCCTCTTGGCAATTTCTCTCCTCTCTGAATCCTGAATGTCATCAATTGAGCAGTTTTTCTCGGCTATGTCATTGCACCATGATGTTTCTGCCTGGGAGCCAACTCATCACGGGCTGAATGCTCTGCAACTCGGAGCCAAATAAACCTCTCCTCCTTCATGTTGCAAATGTTAGGTATTTTGGTGGGAAAAGTGACTAAGACAACACCCCAACCCATCCCTCCCTCTGCTTCCCACTGTCTCCCAGGTTGTTCAATATAATCCTTACTCCATGACCCAAACCACTATGATAAAGAGGAACAGTATGAAATGGCATAATTAGACTGGGACTTTCCAAGGAACAAGAACATCTGAGTTCCATCTCCAATCTACAGGTGGGAAATGAGAGGAGCACAAAGCATGTAGGCAGCAGATTCACCAACCCCACCTCAGGCCTCTGCCCTCTAGACCCAGTGGAGCATGGTGAGATCAGAAGGTACAGAATTCAGCCCTTGCCTTACACCAAAAACTAGGCAACGTGAGGACACAGCAGTTCCCAATTCTGCTCCTCATCTTCCTTTTCTGTAAAATAGTATCTACGTCATAGCATTCTCCTAAGAATCAAATGAGATAATAGATGCACTCAGGGTGGTCTGACGCATAATAAATCCCCAGTCAGTAACTATTATTACTGGCTTGATTTCAGCCTGGAAACAGAATTCAAGGGCAAGGCTGGTCATCCCAGCAGAGGTTACACTGCTGGGAGGGGCAAAAAGAGGAAAAATAGGAAAAGAGGGGCTGCAGATATCTGCAAAGACCTTTGTCTGTGACATGGTACTAGAAAGAAAGCCTGAATCTCACCTGAAGCATTTCTGGGGCAACTGTTGTCCCTACACATATGTACAGGCCACAAAAGGCTCCATCTACTCAGGGAGACTCCAGGTGAAACACAGAATGTCAGGGCTGGGGCATTGCACCAGACCCAGAGCCCATAATCCTAAGAAGGACAAGGACCAGCCTGTGGAAGAGAGACTTCTCCTGTCCCAAAAGCCCTTTACCCTGAGAATTTCTGGGCCCACTGAGGAGGTCCCAGGGACTCTTGGGTCTGGGGGACCTGGAGGAAGGCACAGAGATAGGCTTGCTCTCTAAGCCCAGGGAACCCAGGGTGTATAATTCAGTCCCCTTCCCACCTATGAAATGATAAAGCTCCATTCCCTCTTTCCTCAAGGCTGAGATACTAGATAGGTCAAATATAGTATTCTAGCTGCCCCCTTTCATTGCTTCCATAAACAAGGAAAAAGGACAAATAGAATTTTTATAGGTGCCACCAGCATTGACCATTGGCTCCTTCCTTTGCTCTTTGCTACCCTAATTATCCACCCTGCTACTTAGCAGCCACTAATATCCCAAGCTCATAAACCTAATTTAATGGTGATCTGGGGTTTGACCCAGTGCAGCCCTCCAGTCCACTGCCATATAAAAAAGGAGAAGCTGGGGCATGACTTGGTCATTGCTACCCCCTGTTCTCCCCTCTAGGGCTCCATCTCTCTGGCTGTCACTCCTGCCATGTCGTGCCGCTCCTTCCAGATGGGCTCCAGGTGTGGCAGTAGGAGTTTCAGCTCATGCTCAGCTGTCATGCCCCGGATGGTCACCCACTATGAAGTGAACAAGGGGCCCTGCAGGCCTAACAGCGGTGGGAGTCTCCGAGTCCTGGGCTGCCTTGGTTCCCGGAGCCTGTGCAATGTGGGTTTTGGCAGACCTCGGGTCGCCTCTAGATGTGGCCTGCCCAGCTTTGGTTATCGAGTTGGGGCTACCTGTGGACCTTCTGCTTGCATCACTCCTGTCACCATTAATGAGAGTCTTCTGGTCCCACTGGAACTGGAGATTGATCCAACAATACAGAGGGTGAAAATGGATGAGAAGGAGCAGATCAAGGGCCTCAATAATCGCTTTGCATCCTTCATCAACAAGGTAAGAGAGAAGGCCCAAAGCATCAAGGCAGCGGGGAAAAAATCCACCACAGAGATACCTGTGTGAAGGACAAGTGCTGACAGCAGAGAAGTGACCATTTGTCTGCTGGCCTCTCTAGAATTCCGCCAGTATTCATTGTTGAAAGCTGGTTAGATCAAGCTCAGCACTGAAAGCTTCTGCTTCGCAGTCTTGTTTTAGTGGATTGTTTCTCTCTAGGTTTTATCTGGGAAAATCACCGAGGGTACTTTAGGTCAGACTGTAAGAGAAACTGAAAAGAATGACCAGAGTCTGAGAAGTACACTTCCTGGTGACGCCTTAACATAGGACCACCTTCTATGTGCCTGAGCTGCCTCAAGAGTCAAGTTTGAAGGCAGGAGTTTTGGACACTGTGATCTCAAAATTTGCCATCAGCTTAAAAGTCAGAAGAGGAAAAAGTAGCGCAGTCATGGGTAGGGATGCAAAATGGCCTTTGCTGGAGTCTTACAGCTGTCAGCCCCAGATCCAGAGCTGCAGAAAGCCTCAGAGAAGGGCAGTATGCTACCTTTAAAGGCATTTAACTGGTCTGTTACCCATCAGCTGCCCCCAGGCCTGTCTCCCCTTGCCAGGGAAGCTCTTGAAGTAGTTAGGATTCATGTCGAGAGATGTGGTATTTCTGGTGACCCCAAAGCTGCTGGGACATAAATCAGTGTACTGAGACCTGGTGCTGGCTCTACTCCTGTGATCGAATCCCTGTATAAGTCACTCCCTGCTCAACCCTGAGGATTCTACTGCCTCGTGGGGAAGGGTTCAAGAAACTGGTAGAAATGGAGGAAGTAGGCTGTAAAAAACCTGCTTCACAAAAGATCCTGTTCACGTATGATTTTATTTGTAAGGTTTACAAATTTCTGGTTGTAACCCCATTCCAAGAATGTGGATCCTGCCCATCAATGATGCCACACCCCTTTCAGTAAGGCTGGGAGGGTCCTGTTGATGTGGTGTTCACCAGAAGTAGGGCAAATTTCCTCCAGGAGTGCAGCTGTCACAAAAGGCAAGGCTCAGTATTGGAAATCCCAAGGGAAAGACTTGCAGCCATCATCCCTTTACCAGTGACAAACTAGATGGCCAGGGCCAACTCAATTTCTTTTAATCTTGGTGCCAATACACAAATCTGGAGAGGAGCCTGTAGCTGCCCATGTCACTGTGTGACCTGTATATCTCTCAGGCATCATGGAATGGGACGGAATAGGTGAAGAGAGCTGACAGTCCTAAGATACAATCTTTGAGGTGACCTTCTTCCCTAAGTGCCCCTAGACTGCAAAAAAAGAAACAACAACAATAAAAAAAAAAAAACATGGACTCCCAAGCAGCACAGTCTTACGTTAGTGGGCAGGTTGGTGGAGTGCATCCCAAAGAGGCTCATTAGGAAGAAGAGTGAGCCAAAGTCACAAGTCTAGCCAGAGGCAGGCAGACAGAGCTGGAACACGAACCTGCTCCAAGCCCCATGGAGCAGCACTGTACTTATACAGCCCAAGTGGAAAATGGGGGCCCTCCAAGTTCCCCCCAGGTAGAGGAGACACAGAGACAGCCATAGGTCTCAAACTATGCAGACCTTAACTTTTGCACATTCCAGTTTTGGGAGAGGGCACAAAGTCATCCTACTACCCTCTCTAAGATAAAGTCCCCAGGACTCCTACCTCCTGGTGATGCTTCATTTTTGGCCACAGGTGAGGTTTCTGGAGCAGAAGAACAAGCTGCTGGAGACCAAGTGGAACTTCATGCGGCAGCAGAGGTGCTGCCAGAGCAACATGGAGCCCCTCTTCGAGGGCTACATCTGTACCCTGCGGAGGGAACTGGATTGTGTGTCCGGGGAGCACGGGAGGCTGGAGGCAGAGCTCTGCAGTGTCCAAGATGCACTGGAGGGCTACCAAAAAAAGTGAGTTGGCTATGTTTTCACCTCACAAAGGGATCTAGGGGGAGATACAGGATCTGGGCCTTGGTTTTCCATGTGTAAAATGGTACATCAAGCTCAGTAGGGGAAGAACAATTATGTGGGATAACATAGGCTGAGCACAGCATTTATTATGTAGATGGTGCTCCCAGCTCCACAATTCTGCATTTGTCTTCACCTCCTCCATTTCTCTGCCTACACAAGGCCCTCAAAATCTCTCAGTGTAAAACACACTCTTTTACTTGCCATTTTTGGAGCCCGTTGTCTGCTCTAAGCTACCTGCCTGTTCCGCCTCATCTTCCATTCACAAACCCAGAATTGTTTTCTAGTCCCCCAATGGATCCTAGGGCTCTTCTCACCAAGCTTTGATGCCTGCTCTTCCTTCCACCTGATAAACCCTCCGGGTATTTCCCCTTGCCCATCCAGCAAGCTCACTTTTTCTCTCACCCTTGACTGCCTGCCTCCCCATCCCTGCCCATCACACAGCTAGAAATGATCTAAGATCTTTGTCATCCACCCCTCCCTGTTATCGTGCACTCAACTGCTTCTATCTCCAACCCCAGTGCTTTGAGATTTACATTGTCAATCCCACCCTGCATGTCCTCCCCAGTGAAGCTGCAGGTCTGATCACAGCCTGGAGAAGGTGTCTCACAGGCACACATTAATGAAGAGTTGCCAGCCAAGTAGCTTCAATGGTTGCAAGGGACTGAGGCCCAGATTTGTTGCCTCCTGGGGGTTCCTGAGTAAAACTGCTCTTGAGCCAGCACCCTGAGGGAGTCTATGTTGCTGGGGAGAAACTGCACATATACTGAGAGCAGCAGTTTTCAGAGGATGTGTCGATGAAATTGAGCTATGTTGGAGACATTCACACCATGAGTGTCAACCACAGTCCTCAGTGCTAGACACTGCACTGGGAAGTACGATGCTCTAGAAAGAGGAAAGTGACCCCTTCTCTCAAGATGCTCCAGTCCAGTATACACAGGCCAGTTGCACTTAAATGTGGACACCTATAAGTAGGACAATGCAGAGAGGAGTCCTGAGACAGGATGAGTGGAGGGAGCTGGGGAGGGCTTCCCACAGGAGAAGTCATCGGGTGGGGGCCTTGAGAGATGATGTCCCTTGCAATGGTTTCTTCTAGAAGTGGAATCCAGAGTAGACCTCAGAAATGAAAAAGGAAAGGAGTAGATGCAAAGAAGGGCTAGGGGATGCCAAGTGAGGGGACAACTCTAGCAGACAAAGACAGGTAAAAGATGAGGTGCAGATGTCAAGTCCCACAACCCACTTACCCATGACTAGCAAGTGACAGGGGGAATCCAAAGAAAGGCAGTAAACTCTGGAGCCCAGCACTACAGCTGGGCAGACTCTGCTAGGCAAAAGAGAAATGGGCATGCAGAAGCACAGAGAAACTTCTATGGATGGACACTGTTCGCCAAATGAATCACTCTCGCCAGAGTAAATCCCTGAACCTCAAGGTGGGCAATGAGTGGGCAAAGGAGCTTGGGGACATAGTTAGGCTGCCTCTGTGAGTCTGGTCAAGTGGGTAATTGCTACTTTTGCCACCAGACTGCGGTCCTGGCCATGCTTGCCACGTTTTGCACAAGAAATTTCATGGGCTGCAGTCAGTTCAGGATACCTTGGCAAAGATGGACAGGTCAGCAGCACCATCTCTCTTAAATTCCCAAAGGAAACAACGAGGTGAAAGGGCTTCCTCCATAGCAAGAGGGAATGCTGGTAGCCTCAAGAGGACCTCCCAGAGGATGATTCATTGCAGAAACGGGAGTGGGAGGACATAAGCTTGGAAGGTGGCTGTGAGAAGCTCTAGTAATAATCACCTGTCTTAAATGGAGGAGGAACAACAGGTGTCTAGAAATAGGGCAGTCAGTCAAAAACAGCATAGTGGCCCCCAAAGGTCTGATCCCAGATCCCTTCCAAACTTTTACACACCCAATGACAAACTCTCCATCATCCTATCAGGTATGAAGAGGAGCTTTCCCTGCGTCCTTGTGCTGAAAATGAGTTTGTTGCCCTAAAGAAGGTGAGGAGGCGGCACAGGGAGGTGGGAGGATATGGAACTGTGTCCAGATGTGTCCACAGTCCACCCACTCACCCAAGGATCCTTACCCCTCAGACTCCTACACCAGCTCCATTACCCTAGCAGAGACAAAAGCCACTCTTCTCCCTCAACCCAGCCCACTTGCAAAGGGCAGATACTGGCCTGCCTCACCCCCAACTCATTGACCACTCATTGACCAAAGCTAGATAAGTCTGTATCTTCCCAAGCAGTTGGAAATGTGGCTAATGCAAGTCAAAGACAATAAAACTCTGACTCAAAGTTCCAAAGTTGAAAACAATTGCCCCGATTCCTCAGATATGTAGCCAGATATTTCCAGGTCAAGTTCTGCAAAAGCTCTGATGACCCACATTTCAGACTCCTCCCATCCAATCCTTCCCCTTTAAGAGTACCCCGGGACTGGGAACATCTCCCTCCCACTATGGCTGCATCACTCCCTGCATTTTCACATGGGCCTCCGTGCAGAGAGGAGAGCCTACACCCACTGCCTGCAGCCAGCTGGCCAGAGATGTGTCTACTTGGAAGAGACATGGTTCCTCCATGCTCCAGCACTGGGTCATGATTCCATCCTTGCCCTGTTGCAGGATGTGGACACAGCCTTCTTAGTGAAAGCTGATCTGGAAACCAATGTGGAGGCTCTAGAGCTGGAGAAGAACTTCTTGAAAAATTTGTTTGAAGAGGTAACTACAGCCATGCTGCCTTCTGGGTAGTGGGCCGGAAACCGTGCTAAAAGAGCTGGAGGGTGGGGAGCATGTGCCCAGTACTGTGTTTCCATGAGAAGCTCAGGAAGCAGTCCTAGCGGGAAGGCCGGTACTCAGCGGGTGAGATTACTAGAAGGTGGACTCCCAGCTCTTTGGCTCTCAGACCCCTCTGGGAAAGTTCAAGTCACTATAAGAAGGGGACAAGAAGCACCTTGACCATGGAAGTCTGGGAACAGTTACAGCCCAACTCTACAAATCTTCTATGGGCAGAGGTTGGAATGGGCTCTCTCTCTGCTCACTGCCCCATCCTCTCATTCCTTCTTCTCCCCAGGAGATCTCGCTACTACAGTCTCAGATCTCTGAGACATCAGTCATTGTGGAGATGGACAACAGCCGGGATCTGGACATGGATGACATCATTAATGAAATCAAGATGCAGTATGAAGAAATCTCCAGACGCAGCAAAATCGAACTGGAGGCCTGGTACCAGCGCCAGGTGAGGCTAGGATGCAGAGGGACAAGGCTGGGATAGGGGGAGATGCAGGAAAGGAATGGAGAATGGGAGAGGGGTAGGGGAGGGCCTTTAGATGCCTTCTGCTGCAGGAAGTAACGAATACAGAACTAATGAAGACTGTGGCCACACCACAGCATCAGGAAATCCCATAAATCCCAGCCTTGTTGTTTCAGCTGGGCCTCAGGCCAGGTCCTTGTAGATTATGTAGGAAGGAAACAGACAACCCAGGCCTGTCACTAGGGTGACCAGGGTGTTGGGACCCTAGTGTATTTACCCAAAGACTCATCAGATGTTTCTCTGAGGAACATACATACCCAGTACATATAATTGAAGATGATGAAGGAGATGCCTCTGGGCAAGGAAGGAAGCTAGTAGCATGGGATGGTGACTAATGGTGGGGCAAAAACAGTAATTAAGGTGGCCCAGACTTGGCAATTAGGGGCTTGCTGGGAGGCAGGGGGAGCCTTCTGGGCAATTCTATTTAACAAATACTATTATCTTTGTACCACTTCCCTGCCTGCAAAAGCCATCTCACATGCAATCATTACTGGTTAGTACATTCAGCTAGCAACTGTTTGTTGGACACTCACCATGTGCCAAGCTCAGTACTAGAGCTGGGGATTCAGGAGGGAGCAGAACAGACAGCAGTCACTCATATCATCATCTTCTGGGGCTGAGGACAGTAGACAAGAAACAAAGCCAGTAAGTAGAAAGGATGTATGGTAGATGTTGATGCGTGCTACTGAGAAAATAAACCAGGGTGAAGACTAAGGGGACCACAAGCATCCAGACAGTAGCCAGGGAAGGATGCAGGTGGCACTGAGGATACTGGAACTTAGACCACCTGTGTTCTCAGAAAGGTTACTGGGGTTGTGGGAGGTATGACCAACCAGTACAGGAGCATGCCAAGTCAGGTAGCAGGTCCAGGGAGTTAACAAAAAACACAAATTGGGTCTGGAAAGACAGAGGCATGGTCATTCGATCCGCTCTTGAAGGACAAGGAAGATGTCAATAAGCAGAGAATGGGAGAAGAATGTGCCTACCTGGGGAGCCACAGGAGCCAGGGTGTGAGGCAAAAAGTGTGATAACTGGGTTGCATGTGCTGTGAGGGACATCGGGCTGCACAACCTACCTGTGGCCAGATCCAGTACCTCTGCAGAGCTGCGCTAATACTGGGCTTTTTGCTGAGGTCATGGATGCCCCTGTACATCGAGTGCCTCCAGTGACACTCTGCCTATGGTCTGAAGATCTAGGTAATCAGAAGTTACAAACCCTGGCAGGAGTCAGCCCTGCGGGCTCAGCTGTGGCTAAGTACAGACCGGGTTGCACCCAGCAGGCTGTTCCTCTGGCTTTCCCTGGGCCACCCACCAGTCAGATGAGCTCCAGTAACAGAAACTGATCTTCCCATCCACAGAATGGTAAAGATTATTTCTATTAGTTAAGGATTGTATTTAGCCATAAGAATAAGAAGTTTTTAAAACAATAGTTAAGACAAATTCAGTTTAGGGCCTGGGATATAGCTCAGCAGCACAAGTGCTTGCCTGTAAGCATGAGGTCATGAGTTCCATCCCCAGTAACAAACTTACTTTTTTCTTAGATAACAAAGTACAAAAATATATTGCCCAGACACAGGAGTGTTCTGCCATCTTTAACATGGCTTTTCACGTTCATGGTTGCCTCATATCCTGAGATAGCTTCAATACCTGTAATACACACACTCATGCTATGCAGGGAAAGAGGAGAAGCACAAAGAAGAAACATGCCAACTGAGTCATTCCCACTGAAAGAACTTTCCTAGAAGCTCTATCCAGCATTGGTAATAAATCTCTTTGATCAGAAGGTCAAGAAGCCAGGCATGATGGTGTACGCCTATAATTCCAGTGCTTAGGAGGCTGAGGCAGGATGATTGTTGTGAGTTTGAAGCCGGGGTGGACTACAAAGTGAGCTCAAGGCCAGCCTAAACTTTATAGTGAGATTGTATCTCAAAAAGACAAAAAAGGAGGAGGAGGAGGAAGAGGAGGAGGAGGAAGAAGGGGGCAGAAGAAGAAGGAGGAGGAGTAGGTGGAGGAGAAGGAGAAGGAGGAGAAAGAGAAGGAGAAGGAGAAAAAGAAGGAGGGAAAGAAGACCAAGAAACAGTCTTTTATCTGAACTCACAGGGCTCTGTTTTAAGTAGAAAAGAGTAAATATTAGTTAGACAACTTCTGACTTCCCACAGTAACCAAATAATGAAAGAACCAAAGAGTATACCTATGTCCTATTGTGTATTTACTGGACAAGATGTCCCTACAAATTATCAAAAAATCTAAAGTTGGCTGAGTTTTAAAATTCTACAAGTGTAATTTGTATATAACTACTCTTCAGAAATTGGATTTAAAGGCAAAAGGCAAAAAAAAAGTAGGCCAAAGTAGGACATAACATTGCACTCTTTTTTTTTTTTTGGTCATTTTGAGTCCTTGATCTGTTAGCATTGCAGCCTGAACACAGAAACCCCTTCCAAGGTCTATAGCAGCATCTAAAAGGCAGGGAGCCCTTGGGCTCTGTGGCAGAGAGGAAAGATCTTAGAGTTTGGAGGGGAACATAACAAGCCTGAGGCTTAGAGCAAAGGGGCGAGATGGAAATGGGGAGCAGCCACATCAAAACCCCACACCTGATCATCAGTGAGAAGGGGATGGGAAGCAGGGCAAGTAGAAGAAGCCAGAGAGGCGGAAGGAGCCTGGGAGCAGTGAGTCAGGGGCCCAGCAATGCCATGGTGCAGGGACTGGGTTCTGACCTGTATGTCCCGGCAGTACGAGGAGCTGCAGGTGACAGCTGGTAACCACAGTGACAACCTCTGCCGCCGCAAGAATGAGATCCTGGAAATGAACAAGCTGATCCAGCGGCTGCAACAAGACACTGAGACTGTGAAGGCCCAGGTGAGACAAGCAGGGCCGATGAGACCCCAACCAAGAGATCAGGGCAATGTGAGCAGGTCCAACCCCTGCAGTGAGTGCAGCTGGCAAGGGGACAAACCTGGCCCACCTCGCTTCGGAGGAAGCAAGCTCTGTCTATACAGGCTGACCACTATCAGTAGCAATGAACCTCAGAAAACAACCAGGTTCCCAACAGCAGCCAGGTGGCCTCTTGTCAAAGATGAAGTCACAGCAGGTAGAGGAAAGATATTCTCCACGTCCCTTCAAACTCAGACTCTAAACCTCTAACTGTGAACTTCAAGGCAACCCTGAGCTGCTCATAAAATCAGATCCATGCTTTTCTTCTAAGCTAGTGAAGACCAGGCAGGCACTTAAAATTTATTAGACCTCCAACCCACCTACCCTCTTAATTACTGAGCATATCTAAAAGTCTCGGGTTCCCCTCCAGAGTTTTAGACAGAACATGGCTTCCACTTCCTAGGAGGAGCCAGATGTCACACTCCTAGGGTGAAATCCACAGCACATGTGGACCTGGCAGGTACCACCATGTGTTTTCCCTGCTCTTCTGAGGGTCTGGCATAGACCTCTGGGTTCCCTGCAATGCCTTGCGGTATCCTCCCCTCCAGCGCTGCAAACTCGAGGCGGCCATAGCTGAGGCAGAGCAGCAGGGTGAGGCGGCCCTCAATGATGCCAAGTGCAAGCTGGCCGGGCTGGAGGAGGCCCTGCAGAAGGCCAAGCAGGACATGGCCTGCCTGCTCAAGGAGTACCAGGAGGTGATGAACTCCAAGCTGGGCCTGGACATCGAGATCGCCACCTACAGGCGCCTGCTGGAGGGCGAAGAGCACAGGTAAGCTTGAATGAAGAGAGGCACCAAAGGTGTCTGCTCTCTAGCACTTAGGCTGTTTACTCAGTCACCAATCAAGGAAAACCCAGAAAGACCTAAGCCCTCCTCCTCTGCAAGGTAAGGATAAAAAAAAAAAAATGGAGGTGCTCCTTGAATCTCTCTAATGAACATCTTTTGTCTTCTCCTTCCTCTTCTCAGGCTGTGTGAAGGCATTGGGCCAGTGAACATCTGTAAGTAGATGAGCCACCCCAAGAGGTACTGGGCTTAGGAGCTGATCTGCCTGGCACAAAAGCCCACACCCTCCACCAGGCCATCAGGGGCCTCCCTACCCAACAGGAGGGGCCTTATCTGCTATGAGCCTTGGGTTGATGGAGAAGTTCTCTGGCCGGTCTATCCGTATCTTTGGGGGGTTGCAACTATGAACACATGCACAGCATGGTCCCCAAGGTCTCCAAGAGCCACCCTGACAAGACAGTGTTTTGCTAGAGTGCAAAGATTTGAAGCAGGCTCAGGAGAGACCTGGAGGAAGTAAAACAGACATCAGACCTGACCTCGATAAGCCTCCAGGGAAAGGCGAGGAGAACAGGGGCCACTTTCAAGTTCTGGATGTGGCTAGGATGGGAAGAGGTGGAGTTGTTGCTGGGATGGAGTATCTTTTAATGCCAGTGGCTATAGGTGAGAGTAATGGCCTTCGAGGAGATGTTTCAGGACAGCTTTCTCAGAGCTATGTGGGGTGGGGCCCTGAGTCTCACTCTTTGTCCCCACAGCCGTGAGCAGTTCCAAAGGTGCCATCCTGTTTGAGCCATGTGCGGTCAGCACACCTGTGCTGAGGTCCGAGTACTGCACAGGGAGCACCAGCGTCCTCAGGAGCAGCGGGGGCTGCAGCATGATGGCCACTGGGGAACTCTACATCCCCTGTGAGCCCCAGGGGCTTGTGGCCTGTGGGAGTGGGAGGCTCTCTAGCATGAAGCTGGGGGCTGGGGGCAGCTCCTGCAACCACTAATAGCACTGACCCAAAGGCTGGAAACCCAGGGGACAATCCCTGAATGTTACTTCAAAAGCCCACCTTCCCATATTGACTCCAGGTCCCCTTGGGATTTCCACTGGAAACTAAGCTGCTCCTCAGGTTCATCCTTACCTTCAAAAGCCACCTTTCCAAGGGGGTCCTTGGGATGGGATGAGATGCAGAGAAAGAGGATGCATTGCTCCTGATGAACGTCAGCCCCAGCATGGCCAAAAGATTGTCAGTAGTCCCAACCACGGCTGTGCTGGAGATTAAGTGGACATGCCACAGTTCTACTTTGTGGGAGGTCGATGGCAGTTTCCCCACAAAGCCAACCATTCCTTCCCACCCCCAACCCAGCTTACCATCTTTCTGCCCTCTGATTGTCGTGCACCTAAGAAAGGTGAACTTCTTTTAGCACCCACTGGAAACAAGCACTATTACAAACACTAAAATCCTCCAAAATTCCATCCTGATTTTCAAAAGCCATGCCAAAATTTCAGGATCACTCAGAATCTGACAATGTCCTTCCGAGACAAAACTCAAGAGGTGTTCTTTGGAATACAGATTTACTTGCTTGGTATACTGACCCTAAACTATGAAAGTAAGTCTGTATCCTGAGCTTATATTGGCAGATGATGGTGGGAAGTGTTTAAAACAAAGGAAATGGAATAGTTACTAGACAGATGGAGAATCAAGAACTGACATTTGCTCAATGGAATCAATTCTCACCCTCACTGTACACGGTCACCCAGTTCCTGCTCCTTCCTCTTTTGTTCTCTTGTTTGGGCCTTTAGTCTGACCACAGCATAGATTTCCTTATTATGGGTCTGTATGGCTGAATTAGCAACTTGGAAGCTCTGGCTTAGAACTAGGATAGGGAAAAGGGAACACTGGGCTGACTCCACCTTCCAGGATACTTTCCTACAAGGCCCACCCACTTTGGATTCAATTTCTCTGCCTGGAACCTCTGGGTTCTCTGTTCCCAGTAAACAGATTCTATTTAACACTGTAAGAATGGAGATTACCCACCTCTTCTCTATATAGGATATGCAATAAGCCTAAGGGGAATTAGGAGCAGCCTTTGAAGATTGGAGCCTTGGGAATGGAAATAAAAGTTGCTACAGCAATGCAAAAATGACTTGTTAATGATTTATAAGTGACCTGTGGGACAAATATGGCCCCATAAAAATGGTATTTAAAACCTGCACATCACACCCCAATAGTCACAAATCATTTGTGGCTTTTAAAAGCCACATCTATTGCACAGAGACCTCATTGATACATGGGCTCCTGCATATGGTCTAGAGAAAATCCATGGGCCCCCTATCACACTAGGATTTAGCAACCCCCAAACTCTGGCCTGTGTCCTCTGTCCCAGACTATTCCCAGGGCCTGAACAGACTGACTTGGAGCAAGCAGTGAAGAAAGGTGACTGTCTACCATGAAAAGGACCAGGACACTCAACCTCCTCTTCCCATGTAAAGAATTTCAGGGTTGGAGGCAAGATTTAGTGTCAGTGAATGTATTCCACGATCTCTGAGTCCCCTGTACCTTTCCCTGTTGCCTCAGTGATCCCAGAAACAGCTCCCCTCAAAAGGGATTTCTGCCCCTTACAAGGCCCCTCCTAAAAGTCAGGATGAGCCTCCCCCACCCTACAGTCACACAGAGCACCCACCCCCTGCCAAGACAGAGATGACAAAGATGCCGCTTACCCCTGGAGGAACTCTCAGCCTCACTGAGGAATCATAAATAATTGAATCGTAAATAACAATGCCAAAAACATATGAGAATGACACGTAGCAACTAATGGCTATGCTGGGAAGGAGGTCAAAGAGAGACTCACAAGGAAGACTGCAAGAAAAGAACCCTTAAAAAAAAAGAAAAGAACCGTAGACTTACAGGTTCATGGGCAACATGCTCAAAACAACCCATATGTTTATTTTTCATTCATATAGTAGGAAATTATCAAGCCCTGTTTGGGTCAAGCCATCCACGGCTGGCAGCAGAATGAGACAGCCCCATAGGCACAGTAGGTCCAGTACCAGGGCCCAGCATAAGCAATGGAACAGTGGGGAACAGCCAGGCTGGTACACAAAATCTTCTGTCAGCAATTCTATCCTATACATATATCCAAAAGAAAAGAATCTGACTCCATACAAACTTGAAATTTTACTCATAACAGCTAAAAAAAAGTAGAAACAGCTCAAATACCTACCAACGGATGAACGCAAGTAAATAAAATGTAGCACAGTCATAGAATGGAATATTACTTTGACTATAGAAAAGAGTGGAGCTGATACATGCCACCTCATGAGTGAATCTGAAAGCATTATGAAATCTGATCATAAGAGAATGAATGAATCTGTTCATTCAATACATGATTCCACTCACATTATAAATGCACAGAATGTCCAGGAACAAAAGAATTTGTAGAAACAGAAAGCTGAGTAGTGCAGTCTTTTAAGGGTGGTAAGAGGGAGAGATGGGACTTAGGGGGATGCCTAAAGGTTTCTTTTGGGGGTGATAAGAGTGTTTCAAAACTGACTGTGGTGATGGTTATAAAACCTGTAAGTATAACTAGATTGTAATTCTAAATGAATAAATTGCATGGTAATGGGAATTGAGTCTTAATAATGCTGTTAGAGGAGGTGGGAGCTGGCCCCAGCCCAAGGAGCTACAACCCAGCAGAGATCCAGACCTGGGACATGAAGTTACAGCTGTGTGATTTCCATGGGGTGGCAAGGTGGAGGGTCCTGGGAGACAGAACTGAGGGGCCGCTTCAGTCACAGACATGGAATGCTCTCCAGTAGGTGGCAGGCAAGCCTGAATCCTCAAGACCTGTGGGACTGTGAAGGGAAGGTGGCCAGACCAGGAGACTCCAGATAGAGGGCTATGTGGCCCCGGACCCAGAGCCCCAGGGCCTGTGACTCAGAGATCAATCTCCAAGTACGGGGGAAGGAGCCAGGGAATGGCCTCAGAGCTTCAGTTCCCACTTGAAGCCTCATTGCTCCGGACCTGGCCCTGGAGAAGCTAAGCTCCCTGCTGACTAATACCTCAGGGCTCTGGAAATGATAGGGAAGCTTTGACCTTGAGTCAGCAAAAACAGATACCAGGGAGATCAACCACCTCTATCCCACAGATGATTACCTGAAGCCTGGGAAATAACACCACTTATGTGTTTGACTAAAAATAAGGTAGAAATAAAGACAATTGCCTCCCCCAGATGGAGGCTCTGGCCTGGGGACTATCTGTTTGAGGTTTTGATTTTAGAGCTTGCAGGTTCCTAGAATGTCTAGTGGGAAAGGGAGGACACGGGAACCATTGCCAACACTACTCATCGCAACAGTGGAATGTCACATCTCAGGCCTGGACACAAGCTCAGGGGCTTGGGCATGTCCTCTCCAGAACATCTACCTGGGACACCCCTTCTCCTCACTGTTTCTCCCTTTCCCACAAGGGAGATGACTCAAGGCAGGTGGGACTTAAGTGCCTCCTAGTGGTGGCCCAGTGTTCTCAATGTGCTAGTTCCATTCAACTCCCCGACACTTCTGACACTTCTCTGGCCTGCCCCACCGGGCGCTAGGGAACAGGAAGAAGTGTCACAGCCCACTGCCCTCTAATAGACAGCAAAAACATCTGCAAAAAGCCAGAGCTTCCAGAATCTTCCTGGAGAATACAAGCCCCTGGAAAAATGTCCTAGATGAGGGAGGATGGACAATGGCATCAAGAGGATGGGAGGACCCAGGATGGAGCCTTTCTTCTGTGTCTGCCACTTCCTCATCCCCTGTTCTCTCTTGCTCTTGTTCAGACAGTTCTTTCCCTGTGAGGCCTTCCCTGCTCCAGGGGCCCCTACCAGACCCCTCTCCTCTGCCCCCAGTGCCTCTCTCCACATAGTCACCTCTGTGACCCACTGCCTTCCTCACTGGAGTTTCCAAGCATTAGGGCCAATGGCTTCAAAAATGGCACCATGAGCCCAGGGTCACTGGGTCTGATAGCAGGAAGGGAGCTGCCCAAATGCCAGCACTTAACACAGTGTCGGGCACACGGGAGCACTCAGAGAAAGCTCGCTGCCTGTCAGGAGCAATACTTTTGCTCTGGACAGGTGACCAGAGGCAATGTGAGAGACTGACAAAACCTGAAATACCCTTCCCAGAGCTGGGGGACATTCAGCAAGAGGGAGTGATTTATCTCCGCTGGGGAAAGATTTTGGATTCTGAACAGTAGCACGAAAAGGCAGAGGTAGAAGTTTGGGCAAGAGCAGAGCAGCCTCCCCTCTGCCCTGGTCTCCTGTTGAGGACTCTAACTGGCTTCCCCCAACAGGTGCGGGTCTCAGCATGAAAGACTTCCCAGACAGTGCTGTCTCCTGCACAAACTTGTCCCCAGGCAAAACGGAAGCACTCGGAGAAGGCAGCTTTCAGTAAAGCCTTCTCAGCACCTGGGCTTCCCCTCAGGTCTGTCTTCCCACACATAACCACACACCCAGCCACAGGCTCATCCAACTGGAGGGGGTTACCACTGGGCGGGCCTCTCCTTCCTCCTCTCTTCCTCCCTCCTCGGCAGATAGCATCCAGATGACCCAGCAGAGGATGCACAGTCACCCCACTGAGGAGCCACCGTGGGCTCAGCCAGATCTCCAGGATTATACTCAAGCTGGCTGACGACAGCAGGAAGAAACTGTCAGAGCAGCAAAACCAGCCCAGAGTTGCCAGGACAACTCCTCCCCCCTCCATCTACCACCCCCTAGAAAATGACTGAGGGTTGTGCTATGCATCATCTGGCGAAATAATGTCTCAGAACTCTAAAGTGCTGATTGTGACAGGGTTATGCTTGACTGGTCTCAATCACCCCCACCCTACTCAGCCTGCTCAGGATTCGAGGAAACAGATGGGGAAAGCCCAGGAATGCCGCCTAATGGGGTAATGAGCACCCCAGCCACAGGGCATGGGGTGTGGGACAGGATCAAGGACAAGGGAGGACTGCTGAGAAGTGCAGAGAGGATTGAGCCAGAGGAAGAAAAAAGGGCAGAGAAGAAGGTATGAAGGAGGAGGCAAATGGAACATAGGGACAGCTTCGGACCTACTCGGGACACAACCCAGTAAGTCCATGCTGCATCCCAAAACATGGTGAAGTAGATCTAATTCCATATCACACAGGACAGAACTGGGGCTCAGCGAGGTTGAGAAATTCTCCCACGGTCACCGATGTACCATGAATCAGGGTCGTATTTGATTATCATTATTTAAAATGGCTGGTGCCTGGCAATCACAGAAAGCAGGTGGACTTGTAGTTAGTAGTGTCATTGTTTTTAGGGTCTCTACATATAAGAACTCCTTATTGATTATTACATACAGCACTTACCTGGAGCAGAATGCTATCAGACCTCAGACCATCACTATCCAACGTCACACCAAAACTGGGATTAAACCTGGGTCCACTTGACTCCAAAGTCTGTATCATGGTGACCCCTTTATACCGTCTCATACTTTTCCCCCTTTGCACCTCAGCAGGGGTCCTCTGGTCTCCTTTCCAGTCTCCTGGGACCCCTTGCCTTCCCCAAGAGGAGCGGCATGGCTTTTCCACCAAGAAGACAGATTGAAGTCTGAGAGGTCAAAAGTGGAGGGAAAACTAGACCAATCCTCCTGTGAATGTCTGCGTTTCTGCCCCACTGGGTTTCTGCCTGATCCTCTGTCCCACTGCTCCAGGGCTGTTCCTACCTCCTTCGTGACTGGAATCTCCTTTTCCCGAAATGTCTGCAAAACCTCGCACGCCGCCCATCTCTCCCTTTGTCCTTCTGCTTTCAAACTCTGCAGTGTATTCAGTCATTCAACAAAACTGGGTAGTACGCCTACCTTGTGCCAGCTTTATGAACAGGAGAACTTAAAACAGTCCTGCTTCCCAGAGCTTATATTCCAGCCAGGGAAGACAGGTAAAATAGGCAAGAAAGGACCTAGATGTCAAGTTTACTAAGGAGAGGGGACAGGTGACAATGAGTGTATAGGACAAGGAGCACTAGTAGGGGTAGAAAAGAGGACATATGAACAGAGACCCAAAAGAGTTGAAGGAGTTTGGGCCGTGGGGTTGTATGAGGGAAAATGTTCACAGCAGTGAAAACAAAAAGTGATAAGTCTGTGGCACGACTGTGCCTGTCTGTTCTATGAACAAGCAGGAGGCCAGATGGCCAGAGCACAGTAAATAGTAGGACAGGTGGTGGGACGCGAGGTCAGAATGCGGGAGGCTCTCTGTGGAGAGTGCGGCATAGCCTTGCCTCTGAAGGCTTTGAGCAAATAAATGATGACCCTCCCCTCATCACTAACAGGTTTTTCAAGGATGCCCCTGGCTGTGGTATTGAGAAAAACTGGAAAAGGTACAGGAGAAAGCTGGGAAACTAGCTAGAAAGAAACTTTGGTGGGTCTCGGGAGGCAAAGAGGAAGGATATGGGCCAACATGGGAGCAGGGAGATGACAGAAGTAGTCATACAGATTCTGAAGATAGATTTGTCAATGCATGGGATGGAGGATATGGCAAAAACAAGGAATAAAAGGATGACACTAAGATTTTTGACCTGAGCTACTTCAGGGATAGTGATGTGGGCAAGTATTTATAGGAATGAGTAGGAAATCCTTTGGGATATGCTAAATTTAGGGTGCTTATCTGATATGAAATAGAGATATTTATTCAAACTGTACAGGAGGAACATGGAGGAAGGATGTGTAGGGTAGAGATATGCCTTGGCAGTCTTTGATGGGCAGAGAATATCTAAAGGCACAAGCCTGTGTGATGTTTCCAAGGTATGAGTGCAGGCAAAGATGAGAAAAGGTACAAGGGCTGAGCCCAGGGATGCTCAGGTGTGGGGAGAGATTAAGGACATGGGGAGGAACTAGCCAAGAAAACTAAAAAGGTGGCAAGAAATTGGGAGGATATATTGTTTATAAATGAAAAGTGTCAAGGAAATGGGCTTGTACATTATGTCGAATACTGCCAGTAAGTCTGGAGAAATGAGGGCTGAGAACAGACCACTGAACTCAGCAACACAGAGGCTGTGTATGATCTTGACAAAGGTTCTATAGTTCTTTATTTTTGTGTCTTTTTTAGGTAGCTGCGTCCATAAAAAATACAAGGGTGCCTACCTGAGCTAGATACCTCCTGTCAAATCCACATATCTTCTTCCAATCAGAATCTAAAGCATCTGAAAGGATCCAGCATCTAGTCAAACAAAGATTATCACAGGCACAGGACAGGAAAGACAAACCACGCCATAGATTAAAAAGTAAACACCGGCTTACGTCTGGGTTCTGAACATCTATGATGTTGTTTGTATAATTTTTTTTGTCTTTTTTGTTTTTTTATCGGTACTAGGGATCGAACTCACGACTGCCTGCTTGCAAGGCAGGTGCTTACGCCGCTGAGCTAAATCCCCAGCCCCCTATGATGTTGTTAACAATATCCATTATCCACCTACATCCAATATCCAATATCCATCTACGGTGTTAATAACAATATCCACTTTCATTTTCTTTCCAGGTGCTTCTCGCTTTGCATCTCTGGGTCTTAACCAATGATTTAAGAAGTCTGTATGGACCTAACCTTAAATCAGTCCTGTGGTACGCTTGCTGAGGGTATGACTCTAGATCAGGTGGTATCTTTACACACAGTAACCTGTGTGTGACCTGGTACAGAGTAGGCACTCAATTACTGCCAAATAAATGAAACTCCTTTCAGCCTCTCAAATCAGAGATGTGTCTCCACTGGCCCAAATGAGCACTGCTATAGATTTGCTCTTATGTGAACAGCCAAACTAGAACACAGAGGATAGATGAAACTGCAGAAAGTTTATTGATTATTTAATCTGTCTACAGAGACACCATATCCCACAGTTCTTCCCATACAGTTTCTTCCTTGGAGCTGAGCAGATCCTGCTTCTCCTTTGTACACCCCTCCTCTCTTTAAGGTATTAAATCTACATCAATGCATCCTTTGGGAGCCTCTGGCTGGAACTGTTCCATCCTAACTTTCTGGTGGTTAGCCATGCTTGCAGTGAAAAAGTCTTTGGATTTATGACCACAGCAAATTAATGCCCCTGTAATGGCAATTGTGGTAGACTTATGAGAAAAGATCGAACCGTAATGTTTATGTGTTTATGTGTTTTTAATGTTTATAGGTCTGCTGCTGCAGTCCTCATCCTGATGAGAATAGGTGTGTCTGAGTTAGTTCATTGTTAAGGAGGTTACAGGCACGAAGAGTTTCTGCTCACTACCCAAGCTCATAAATGCCTTCAAATGGCTTTTTCGTTTTTATGGGGCCAATCCTCTGGTCTCTACACACATAAAAAGGGTGAGAAGGATCCACTAGTCTCAAAGGGACTTCCAGCTTCTGCTCTCCCCACTCTACACTTGCTCCTTGGCTGTCACCAGGAAGTCATCATGTCTTGCCGCTCCTACAGAGTCAGCTCCAGTCGCCGGGTGGGCAACTTCAGCTCTTGCTCAGCAGTGACCCCACAGAATCACTTCGGGGCCAGCTCTGTCTCCTGCAGGAGTGGGTCTGGCTTCCGGGGCCGGGGTGGCTTTGGTAGTCGGAGTGTCATCAACTTTGGATCTTACTCACCCCGGACAGCAGCTGTGGGTCCTCGTCCCTTCTACTGTGGAGTTGGCTTTGGTGCTGGCAGTGGTGTGGCCTTTGGTAGTGGTGTTGGTCTGGGATTTAGAGCCGGCAGCAATGTTGGTCTGGGGTTTGGAGCCGGCAGTGGCCTTGGCTATGGTTTTGGTGGGCCTGGCTTTGGCTACAGAGCTGGAGTTGGTGTTGGAGGCCCGGCAGCTCCATCTATCACAGCTGTGACTGTTAACCAGAGTCTGCTGACCCCTCTCAACTTGGAGATTGACCCTAATGCCCAGAGGGTGAAGAAGGATGAGAAAGAGCAGATCAAGACTCTCAACAACAAGTTTGCCTCCTTCATTGACAAGGTAACTATGATAGCTGGATCTCTGGGCTTGGGAAGAAAAGCATTAAAGTGGACTAAAGTGCTCTTTCCCTTAAGAAGAGCTGGTCCAGGTTGGGGACATTGCCTTTGGCACCATATCCTGGAGATGTCCAGCAAAGGCACTGAGGTATGAGGTCTGGGTTGTTCTGCCACTGAGCAAGGACAAGCCAGGGGAACTTGCATATGGTGAGATAGGCTGGCACTGGTTATTTCTTCTGGAGGGAAAAGGAACACCCAGATAAACCAGACAGCCTCTGGGCACACTAAGGCCTACTATCTGCTCCCCTAGCAGTATTTCTTGCACAGGCTAGCAACATTTACACTTCAGCCAGGATTCAGGTGGTATAAGTTTAAAGGGTTTCTCTTTTGAGACCCTTATGCTCTTTATAAAGTTCTCCTAGTTTCCGAGGCTGGGTTGCCTCAACTGTTCAGGCCTAGAAAAGGGGAAACAGAATTGAAAAATTCTTATCTAAAAAGGCAAGAATTCACACCCCTCACAGCAGGTACCAAGATCCACCAGGATTCCTAGATTGAGGAAAACATAGGGAACAATCATCTCCAGGCTGCTGTAGAGGGCCAGCGATATGACTTGTGCAAAAAAACTACCATCCCACAGAGGAAGCCAACATGCGGACAGAGGCATAGGCTGGAAAGCAACCTCTGAGCTCCAGTGTCCTTGACTTTAATAGGAGGCTGAGGGAAATGGGCTGTCATTTCCCTTCAGGTATACACATCTCAGCTGAGGGAGTATCTGAGATGGAGGTTGCAGTTTACAATCACAGAATCTCCCTTCCTCATGGCACAGTCCACCCCAATGTACTTTCCTTGGCTCCTCATGCTGTGCCAGAGGTGGCTGGTATTGATTTTTCAGACAAATTCCAGCTTAAGCAGAATTAATCTTTCTACCTCTCCAATGAACAGTGTGTGCCCTGGGGGACACAGGGGCCTGAAGTGCTTTGCCTCAGCACCTCTATTTTTAGCCAAGCCTGGCTGAAAATGAAGAGGCAGGCACAGATCTGATCTTCCAGCTTCTACTGAGTTAAAAGAGGGATGAAAGTTATCAGAGGCAAGAAAACTGTCACCAGTGATAGAGTCATTGCTAGCCCTACCAACCACTTCAAATGCCATTTTTTTTCTTTGTCCCTGTTGATTTAGGTGAGGTTTCTAGAGCAACAGAATAAGTTGCTAGAGACCAAGTGGAGCTTCCTACAAGAACAGAAATGTACCAGGAGCAACCTGGAGCCTCTCTTCGAAAACTACCTCACCAACCTGAGGAGGCAGCTGGATGTACTGGTCAGTGACCAGGCCCGTCTGCAGGCCGAGAGGAACCACATGCAGGATATCCTTGAGGGCTTCAAGAAGAAGTAAGTGACACACACGAGGGACACACATGAGCTGGCCCCAAAACAGCAACTCACCTGAAATGAAACACAGTTAAAAGGTTCTGGGCCAAATATTGGTCATAATACCCAACCTGAAGACAGCATGGGAGGCAGCGATATTGGGAGGGATGGCTCCCTGTGGGTCCCAAGAAAAACAAAGTTTTGGAACTAGGCAGAATTTGTCCCTAATACTTCTGGTGGGAAGAGGCAAGTTGACCCCAGAAATGCAGCCCTCTGGTTTTGAAAACAGTTACCCATATCCAGCATTGAGCTGGGTTCTATATCCTCTATGGTCAAGTGCAGTGGTTCAAAGTCATTTCTGGCAAAGGAGTACACTATTGGCCCAGATCTTCAGACTCCAAATCCAAGTTGAAAAAATAAAAAGGATTCAGGGGAACTGATGACCACTGGCTCTTAAAGGATCTTAAAGATAAGACCAGAGGGATAGTATTATGTGATAGCAACAGGAAGTCACATTCCCCAGTGGACTAGAAGGGTGTTAAGAGGCTCACTGGGGACTTTAGGGGTAACTGACCCAGTTTAGAAAACTCACCCTGCTCCTGTTTATCATGCCAGATATGAAGAGGAGGTGGGATTCCGAGCCAATGCTGAGAACGAGTTCGTGGCTCTGAAGAAGGTAAGGAAGAGCAATAGGTCCAGACAAATTTTTCAGATGGAAAAATGTCCTCAGACCATCCCCTCAGAAACTGTGGAATCTAACACCACTCACACAAAGACAGTGCAACTTCGAAGATGACATGAGATTCCCTTCAGTGTTCTGATTTGGCCTCAGATTGTTTAGGATTAGGTGATATAAGAGAAGAGACCCAAAAAGATGAGTTTGTAATGAAGTATCATGAATTATCCAGATTTTTTTTCTTTTAAATAAGCATTAAAGAATACCCAGCAGCCACTGTGCATTTTCACACTGTGGTAAGAAGAGCAACAGTTTGCAAGAGTTGGCCCCATGGGAGAGGAGGGTCTTCCCACTCATCTGCAGACCCTGGCTAGGTGGGAAGGGTAAATGGAGCAGAGGTAATGAATATTTTATTCTTCTCTCTTTTATGCAGGATGTAGATACAGCTTTCTTGAATAAATCTGATCTGGAAGCCAATGTGGATACCCTAACTCAGGAAATTGACTTCCTGAAAGCACTGTACTTGGAGGTGAGGTATCTTCTTGAAGCCATCGAAGGAGACCAATACTGGGCCTCAACCCCATGAAGGCTTAGTCTGGAATCAAGCATCTTTATTCTCCATGTTGATGTACCTGCAAGTGGAGAATGTGAAGGAGGCCAGCCTCTCAGAGCCTGGCTCAGGCCTATGTATGATCCCTTGCATCTGTAATCCAAATCCTCATTGACCAATCTAAACATTGATGTTTAGAAATGGCACTTCCTACCTACTGACCAAATGAGTCTAGAAAACTGACTTATCAGGAAGTGTAAGAAAAGTTTGATCTAATTTGCCAAACCATCTAGCTATCCTTCACTTCATAGGCACCCTGTTTGGTCAGAAATAGATCCAACCTGAGCTAAATTTCTAGCTCTAAGAGAAGAGATTGAGTGCTTTCTTGTCAGCCAACTCCAGTCTCCCAGTTCTATGAAGGACTTGGGATATAGAAATTCCTATACTGCCATGTTTTAAAATATAGTTTACTCTCAATGCACCATAACCAGCACAGGCACTTTTGGGTAAGCCAAAGGAATCTTTAGCATGGCTCTCGGTCCCCCTACTAAGCTCCTAGGCCTCCCTGGTCTTAACATCCATCTAACAGTGTGGGAGGGCATCTCCAATCTTGTAGCAAAGATTCTAACTGAAATAGTCCTCAAACCTGGCTTTTTCCAAACTGAAGGTCTTGCTTTATACTAAAGCAATAAGCAATGTTTTCTGCCTGACACTACCACATGGGGATCCTGTGGCAGAGTCCCAGACACAGAGGGGTCTCTGAGCTCATCTTATCTGCTGCTCCTCCAACGTAGGAAATCCAGTTGCTGCAGTCACACATCTCAGATACATCAGTCATTGTGAAGATGGACAACAGCCGAGACCTGAACATGGATGGGATCATTGCTGAGGTCAAGGCACAGTATGAGGAGGTGGCCAGGCGCAGCCGAGCTGAAGCTGAGGCCTTGTACCAGACCAAGGTGGGCACAAAGAGGCTGGGGAAAGGAAGCGGGAAGAGCTGGGGCAAGGAGGGCTCACACACAGCAGGGTGGACCGAGGGGGAGTCTGAGACTTCAGCTCTGTGGAGCTCACTAGTCTTGATCTGACTCTGAGTCCTCAAAACACTTACTTCTCCCTAGTATGAAGAGATGCGGGTGACTGCTGGCCAGCACTGTGACAACTTACGTAACACACGGAATGAAATCAATGAGCTGACTCGGCTGATTCAGAGGCTGAAGGCAGAGATTGAGCATACCAAGACTCAGGTAGGCAAAAAAAAAGATAAAGTCACTGAGGAAAGACAGGCAGGGCCCCTATCTTTGGGGGAGCCTCAGTCTAATAAGGTAAGGGACCCACCAAGATCCAGAAATAGAGGATTCATCCAGGAAGTCTTCCTAGGAGAAGAAAATACAAAACAGAAGCAAAGTGTCCCACGTAGAAGGAAAAGCGTATGGCTCCCAAGAGGGTGAGGGAAGGAAGAAAGAACAGGCAACTCTCTGGACCCCATGGGTCTCAGAGTAGCATAGAACAGCAAGAGCAAAGTCAGTGGGGTGGGAACTGAGCAGCCACCGAAAGCTCCGTATCTGCTCATCTGTGATCTCTAGAATGCAGCCAAAGCTCATTGTAAACTACTCTTTCTGCAGCGGGTCAAGCTAGAAGCTGCGGTGGCTGAGGCTGAGCAGCAGGGCGAGGCAGCCCTCAAAGACGCCAAGTGCAAGCTGGCAAACCTGGAGGGTGCCCTGCAGCAGGCCAAGCAGGACATGGCGCGGCAGCTACGGGAGTACCAGGAACTCATGAATGCCAAGTTGGGCCTAGATATCGAGATCGCCACCTACAGGCGGTTGCTGGAAGGCGAGGAGATCCGGTGAGAACCCCTGGGGCAGCAGGAGGAGATGAGGTCTGGCGTGGGCGTCTAGAAAGATTAATCACTTAAGAGAAGAAGGGGAAGTCCAGGGGAAGCCTGCTCAAATGGGCAGTCTGTACAGACAGTGATACATTTTCTGCAAACATTAGTCAGCTGTCTTTGTCGGGGGTTTAGAAGGCCATTCCAGATCTGTGTTCTCAAGGGCAAGCTGCACCATCTCATGGGGAGTTTTGCTTGCTAAGTAATTCATTAAAACAAGAACAGTAATAATACACTTCCTCAAATTTTTTTGTGGAACCAGTGCTAGGCAAGTTTTCTACCACTCAGCTAAAACCCCAGGCCCTTTTAAATTTTTTTATTTTAAAACAGAGTCTTGCCAATTGCCCAGGCCAGCCTTAAACTTGTTCTTCTCCTGTCTCAACTTTCTAGGTAGCTGGGATTACACCTGGGGCCTCAAGTATTTTAATTCATAATTTTGGTGTGGGCTCTAAGAATGTGTCATTTTTCAAAGCCCTCCAGACGTGTACAGCCAGGGCTGAGAACTGCTGGTCCACTGAAATAAGAAAGGCTTTTTAAAGTAAGCAGGTTGGGGGAAGGACAAGACCCAGGAACCAATTCATTTCTTTCTCCCTCTAGGATCTGCGAAGGTGTTGGACCAGTAAACATATGTGAGTAACTTAAGTCTTTTCCTCTTTACATTTCTCTGTTCTTCAGTTTTCCCTGTAAACTCATATTGGGGTCAGGAGGCTTCTGAGATGGTGACGAGGTGTAGGGAGCATCTGTCTCCTAGACTGGGAGCAACCTTCCCTGAGATCAGAGAGCTCCTCAGAGCAAAGGAGTCCAAGTACCTTCATGGTAAGAGAGAGCCTTAGAGGAGAATCAACATTTTTGCTCTGAGTAGCCCCATCTTTCAGGGGAACCATCCCAGAATCTTAGAAAGAATTGAAAGGCTGTGTCAAGGAGATCTCACACCCCCTGATGGCAGTGATGAGTCAAAGTTAAACAGATGCTCCCTCTCTAGCAGGTTTTCAAAGTAGATTTTTAAAGAACTAGTTGTGTCCAAAGCATGCAGGACACTGTAAATCTTTGCTAAGATTTACAGTGCTCGCTAAGATTTCAATCTTCTTGAGAAGGTGAGTTTAGGCACTGCCACCCTAATTCTAGAAGGGCCCCTGTGGGGAGGGGCAAGCATTGGCACCTCAGCTTGATTTGCTCAGAGAAAAAGACAGGATGTGCTGAAAGTCACAAAACCAGCCAGAACCTAAACCCACATCTCTAGCCTTCAAAACACAAATGTGCCCATGTGCACGGTGAAACTGAGTACTAACGTGGGTGAGTCTGCTGGATAAAACCACCCATGCTCAGAGGAGAGGCCCCCCCAGGGGGGCGGGGGGCAGCAAGCAGTAGCCTTTTGCAGCAGGTCAAAATAGAGCAGAGATCATGGGTGGCAAGAAGAACTCCAGTGAGAGGAGACAACAGAGAAGAGCATGCGGGCAGCAGTTGTCTAAGCAAGGGTTAGTTGGATTCTGTTCACTGTGTACAGAGGTCAACACAACGGAGCCCCCAGTGGGACAGGAGGAAGCTAACAAGGGGTTCATATTGACAAGCTTTCCTGGGTGCTGGTCCAGGGAAACAGAAGGCACAGCATAGTGGAAAGTTAAAGATACTTGGCTTTATGGTGGCTACTGCTCCAGCAGCCTGCACAGTCAACTCACCGCCTGCATCCCGTAACCCAACCCACTTTGACCATAGATAAATGACAGTCAAGTATGGACATATGCAGACATCAGGGAGATTGGCTGAACTCCTCCACTGTAATCTGGGTTTGATTTTAGTGTAGGTATAATTTGGGCCACCCACATAGGAGAAAGAAAAGCAGCGCTGACTCTCTGATGGTCTCTTCTCTGCAGCTGTGAGCAGCTCCCGGGGTGGTGTGGTGTGTGGGCCTGAGCCTTTGCTCTCCAGCTCCACCCTCTCCCGTGGCGTCACCTTCTTGGGTGGCAGTAGCAGCATCCACACTACCGGAGGGGTCCTGACTTCCAGCAGCTCAAGCCTAGGTGGGGTCCGAGGTGGCTCTATGATTGTGGATGAGGCCTGCGTCCCCAGTGTTCCCTGCCCACTGCCCACTGAGGGCAACTTTAGCAGCTGCAGTGGTGGCCGGGGCAGCCGTAGCTCCAGTGTCCGCTTCTCATCCACCACCACCTCCTGCCGGACCAGACACTGAGAGCCAAGTCCCAGACAACCACTGCCGCCGGGAGAAGAACCTGCCAAATGTCCCCTGATTCTATCCCTTGAGGTATGCAGACTTCGGGCCTGCGAGGTCTCCAGCCAGCCCTCCTGCCAGGATGCTCTCCAATGCTTTCCCCCAGTACTGCCATGCCTGGGCCAGGCCCTCTTGGAGGACTTTTCACCCTATGGATGCTCTAACTACAGTCAGACTGGCTTCAGCCTAATTCCCAGTTTCCTTCACTGGGATCACTGCTCTTAATAAGCAGAGTCAGTGCAGCTATAGAAAGTAACACTCTGGGGGAGAAAAGGAGCCATTTCAAGCCAAAGCATATGTGCTGACACCACGGCCACCTTGGTTCTAGAGTAATGAGGAGAATGCACTGCAGACACATCCTTGGCCCGTGGTCTCTGGCTCTCTTCTCTTTCCTTCCTTAGCAGGAGACAATTCTTTCCCTCTCTTCCTGGCCGCAAAGGACCTGTAGTCCTCAGAGGCCCAGAGATCCCGAGGTGCCCAGTGGTTCTTCTCCCAGGCGTTGCATGTCACTGTCTTGCTTCCTGTGTTATTGGTTTCCCTTCTCTGCAGCTCATCCCAAGGCGGGTGGAGAGGTGGCTGCCCACCCTCCATCCCTCTGCCCTGTTGCCACAGCAGGTTTGAGTCTGCTGTTTCCAGGGAGGCTTGGGGGGTGGCGGGGTGGGCGTGGATGCCTGTTTGTACTGCTCTTTGTGTTCCTGGGTTTTCAATAAACTTGCCAAGCTAACCTGCTAAAAACCGTAGCCTGTCGTTCCAAATGCCCCGGGGATGGGGAGGCCACTGTCTCACCCTACTGAAGTCTTGCCAACGGAGAGCAGAGACTGGTGTCTGGGGCTGGGGAAGGCACTGAGGAAACAGGCCAGGGGCCCTTCCATTAAGGGCTCAAGATTCTGCAAGGCAGGGAGACAGGAGCGAAGGCTCTGAAAGCAGGGATGGAAGGACCTCCTGTTCTCCAGGCATCACCTTACACCTCAGAGTGCCCCCTTCTGGCCAGCGTGGACCCTGTCACCTATTCCCAAGTCCCACCCCATGCCTGGCTCTGAGCCATACTAGAGAGACATCCTGAACTTTCTTTCCCCACCCAACTCATTTGTCCCAGCACTGCCAGAGAGCTCTTTCTCACAAGGCGAATTAATCACGGCTTCCTCTGCTTATGGCCCTCACTGACTCCCCGTTGCCTTCCAAATGTAGCCCAAACTCTTTAACATGGCATTCAAGCCTTATATGATCTGCCCACACACTTGCACCTCTGCCACCCCATCTATAACCCCTCTTCCAGCCTGTTATCTCTTATTCATTTACTCAGCGAATACACAGTAAGTGCTATCTGTTAGCTGTGAGGCTGGGAAAATAGTTGGGAACATGACTCAACGCTTGCCCTCAAAGAGCTCCCAGTCCAGTCTGATTGGCAGACAGATATACAGCAATTAGGGCTTGATGCATAAAATACACTGTTAAGAGTCAAACCCATGTCTCAGTGCACAGAGAGGCCCCATGCAGACTCAGGGCATCATTAAAAGAAGCTTCGTGAATGATGTGCTGTCTTAGCAGAGATGTGAAAAATGATGAGCCAGCCATACTAAGCAGGAAGAGGTGTCTCAAGTAGAGGCCATAACATGTTCAAAACCAAGAGGTTATAGAAAGCTCCTAGAATTGAGTATGACCATTCAACAGGGCAAGATATTCCAACTGGGGATCTGCCAAGCCAGGTCAGAATCAGCCATGTGGACACAGGTCCATGAGGGCACACAGTCGTCTCCTGTGCTGCAGCCTCCCCAGGACTGGCTTCTCAGAGAACAGGAAACCATCTTTCATTCTTGTGTCTTCTGCCTTGTCCTGACTGCAGGCAGCACCCTGAGGAGAAGGAGATGCTCTGTGTATAGCTCTAAGCATGCAAACATGGTCCTGGGTGCAGCTGCCATCAGCCCTCCTGCTTTCTGGGAGCTCCTGACTTCCTAATTCATTCCCACATGCGAGGCCACACAGTCCTCTCCAGGGCAGCACCATCAAGGCTGTGCCATGTGGCCTCAATGCCTCCCCCTCTCTCAGCCAGACCTGCATCTACCCCGTGCCAGCAATAAGTTCATTGCCTGAGTTGCAGGTTCACCCTCAGCTGCCTCCTCTGTGAAAATGGATCTGATCCCCTAAAATTGCTTGTTTTGCCATCTGGTCCAATGGTAAGCTTTATCAACAGGCATCAGAGAGACACTGATCTGCCTGATTTTCAAAATCTTCAGGTACTGTGGGAGTAATAAAACCCAAAATGTGTAATTGTCATTGTACAAAAGAAAGGAAAAGAAAGTGCTCTAAAGGATATAACTGCATATATATTTAAGTGTATAAGTAGATAACCATATTACTGAGTTTTGTTGGATCATTGAACAGAACTGTTTACAGTCTCACTGTTTGAAAGTCCACTTTATATGCTTTAATTTTGTAACTTGAAAAACTATTTCTAAGATAACAATATGTAATCTGTTAACTAGTGATTTCCTACTGTTTATTTTTTCTGAAATTCTGTATAACTTGTACCCTATTTCTGTTTTTTTTCTTTTTCTCCTTAAATAAAATCTAAAAAAAAAAAAAAAGAACTTCAGGTAGATGCCCTTGAATTTTATCTAGAGTTTTTAACAGCAATCAGTGAGAGGGTCCCTCAGTAAGCCCCTTTTGGTCTCTCCAGCACCAGATTCCCAAATCACAGAGGGCCTGAGTACCATCTGGCCACAGCCAGCATCCTTCTTGGCAATTTCCAAATCAAGTACTTCCAGATACTTCTTTGTGAAAATCCTCCCCCCACACCCAGCAAGGTTGATTTTTAGTGACTCTGGGCAGATGATTTCCAGCAAGTTCTGCTGCTCTGGCATCTGATGGGAGGGGCTGTGCTCCTTCGCATGAGATATGGCTCCCGGCTTGACTCTCAGGTCCTCCAGCATAGCACTATGCTGGAGGAGTAGCCGGTCCTTATGCCTGCTGTTGCCATATTCCTTAGAGTGTTCTTCTCACTAACAAGTCCCTCATATTACTATATTACGTGTCAACCCCTAATATTACTGCATTAAGCATTCCCTGTTCAAGTCACTGTCTGGTGCTATGCTCCTCCCAACTGGATGTAGACTGACACCTCCAGTTTGCATGGACTTTCTTCCAGCTCTGGAGACAGATAGTAAATATCTGCACTGAGCCCCGGACTCCAACCATTAGGCTGTTTCTCTTACCTCTCCACCCTCCACCCCAGGGGTGATCACATGGTCAGTCCCACGGCCCGAAATGCCATCCACACACTTATATCCCCAGCCCAGACAGCACTTTAGCTGCAGGCCAGTATACACAATCTGCTCATTGTGGGCACTGCAAACTAAACAGGTGGAAACAAGCTCTTCGTCTTCCTCCTTCCCTCTCCAGGCTGCTCCTCCCACACTGATGGCAGCTCCACTAAGCTGCTTAAGCCAAAAGGCCATGGAGCACCCTCTAACCCCTCCTTTTCTCTTATACCCCCATATTTAATCCATCAGTAAACCTGGTCACCTCAGCCTTCAAATAATATTCAGAATCCAACCATGTCTCATCGCCCCCTTTTGCCAAGGGCCCAAACTGCTATCAATCTTGATTGAATGTAGTAGCCTCCTAACTGGCCTCTGCTTTCCCTCTCATCCCCCTTCAGTTAGCCCTCAAAAAAGCAGCCAGAATGTCCGGCTAAAATGAAGTCAAGGGATTAGGAGTAGAGTTCAGTGGTCAGCATATTACCTGCATATGTGAAGCCCTGAGTTCAATCTTTAGTGAATGTGCACATCTGCACACACAACACACGCTCGTGTACGCGCAAACACACGTTAACTTCATAAAGTGAGCATATCACAGTTCCTGTCTCCCACTAATTAGAACTAAAAGCTGTAGATAAAATTCAAGTGAGAGGATATAGCTCAGCAGCACAGAACCTGCCTGGAAATGCAAGGTCCTGAGTTTGATTCCCGATACAAAAAAAAAAAAAAATTCAGAACAACTCTTTGAAGATCCTGAAAAGTAACCAAATGCAGGCAAGTCAGTAATGAGAAGACAAGGCTCGGGAAAGCGACTCGGACCTTTGTTTCCTCTTTACTCTGCTGCCTTGAGCTGAGGGTAAGCCCCCAACTGTGGGCTTGTGAAGCATCAGCATGAGCAGTTAAAGCTCTCATGAAAAACCCACCTTTCCTCCAAAAAGAACCAGGGAAAAGGGCCCTAGTAGGCCAGAAAACATGGCAGGTGTTTCCTTCTGTTTCCATATCCTTCTGTTTTCTCTCATAGCTTTGTCTTAAAGGTAAATCTGAGTATAGGGCTGCACAACACCAATGATAATAAAACTCCAGAAGAGACTGCTGTCTCTGACATGAGGAGCCAGGGCCTCATGCATGCATGCTAGATAAGAGTTGTAATCCCGAGACAGGCTGCAGCCCTATAAATACAGAATTCTATCATCAGCAAAAACGTCCTTCAGAAGCAAAGACAAAACGAAACAAAGATATTCTTGATGAAAGAAAACTAGGAGAATATGTCACCTGCAGACCTTCTTGGAAAGGTCTGAGATATTTGAAAGGGAAGAGAAAGGATACCAGAGAGGAGCGTGGAACCCCAGGGATAAAGGGAGGGCAGTAGAAACCATAAATACCTGGATAAATAGGAAAAACTATTTTGCTTCTTATATTCTTTAAAATATATGACTATTGAAAACAAAAAATCATTTGATTGAATGGGGTTTTGAGGTATGCAGATGTATTATGTCTGATCTCTGTAACACAGGGAAGAAAGTAATGTACATGATAAAATATTAGCTCTACATAGGCCCTGAAAGATGAGATCTTGCACATTCAATGTCTGGAGTAGCCACTAAAAAACAATAGCATATACTCAAAATCAATAGATAAGTTAAAGGGAATGCTTTTTAAATATTCAAGTAATCCAAGAAGGTGCAAAAGGAGCAATAGAGAAACAAAAATCAGAAAATGAGAATAAATTGAAAATAAATAATAATGAACCTAAATAAAGCCAAATTAATAATTACTTGTAGTGTAGTTGGTTCAAGTGCACCATCACAAGGGAGAAGCATTCTCCATTACATATAGTTCACATATGACAAAACTAAGGCCTAGGAAGTTTAAAAAGTGGTGGAAGGAAGAAACCTCTGACCTTGTGCCCACGCCCATCACTGCCATGCTTTTCTGCTTGTCATTAATCTCAACAACCCTCTTGCCTCTTTTGTAAAATGTGAAAATGTCTCCTACTTCAGAGAGTCTATGTGGCAAAGACATGCAACTTGTAACTACTTAAGAGTTCTTGCCTGCAGCCTGTAGTCGGTGCACAATAAATGCTTGCTCTTGATTTGAAGGTGGCTGTAGTGGTGTTCCCATTTTTATTAGTAGGAGGTGAAGGCTGCCAGCAGCAGCCTAGCTGCCCCAACCCAGCACCATCCACATGTGGGAACAAGAGTTGATAGACTGCTCCCAGTCCCTCTGGCCTCTGCCACTGAGCAGCTTTTGCCAGAGCCATCATGGAGCTTTGCTGCCCTCTTCTGGCCACTAACTGCAGGAAAGAAGATGCAGGACGTTTACAAAGTAAGCTAAAAGCAGAGCAGGACATTGTGATTTGCGGAGGGGAGAAGACAGGTTGGTATCTTCAACTTTTTTATCCACTGAAATTGTATTTAGGATGCAAACATTACAACAAAGATTTGTCACATATGCATATATATGTGTATGTACAGCAAC